TGGTGGTGCACTCCTATGATTCCAGCACTTGGGAAGTTGAGCCAGGAGTTCACGGCCAGACTGGACTACATAGGGAGACCCTGTCTCAAGAAATCAAAAGAAAACAAAATCAAACAGACAAAAGACCCTGTATAACCCAAAAGGAATAATTTCATACCTGTTAGATTTAATAATAACATAATCCAGTTACTTTTTGTATCTGCATTTTATAATTTTAGTATTCTAATTTCTAGTATATTTTGCAAAAGTATTGGCTCTTGATGCATTTGAATTAATAATAATTTTTGAAAACTAGGCCCTCACTGCAGATCATTTGAGAAGCTACTGTTGAAGTATCTTCTTGATTCAGAAAGTGTTCAGCTCCCATTCCCCTGCATTAGTTTCTTTTTCACTTTGCAAATTTTTGTCAAACTCCTAGATATTATTTTCTAGCCAACATGTAATACAGGGAAAAATCATTAATTTCCTAAATTAATTAGTTACCCCCTCATAAAACCAAGTTAAAGAGCTTCCAAGGTTAAAATTTTTGAAAAAAGGAGCACAATTTTTAAATAGAGCTTTGGTGTGACTCAAATATCATATTAAATTTCTATTCAATGTATTAAGCTAGCTTGGCAGATTAAAAACTGCAGAGTTTAAAAATACAAATAACTAAGGAGAAGATACATCTGAATATGTTTATTCAGGCCACCCTCGGTTACAGTCATCCTGCCTATGAAATGAAAAGTCCAGAAGACACTGAGAACCCCTCCAGTTCTAATATTCTATATGTTGGTGAAATTAATTCAATGATCATTTAAACTACTATATTTTCATTAAAAAAGTGAATCTTTTGAAATTAAAAACTCCTTCTTTACATGCTCTTTTTTTTTCAGTGCTTGGAACAGAACCCAGGGCCTTTGTACATGCTAGGCAAGTGCTCCACCAAACTGCATCTCCAGCCAACATGCTACATTGTTTTTGATAGAATTCTTTCTATTAGGAAGATGAAAACTGTCCAGCATACTATACAAACAGATACAGAAATGGAAATGGAAATGGGGAATGGGCAAAGTTGAAATACTATGAAAGCAGAGAAGTCGAAGTCCTAGCTCTTCTAGCTATCCTTGTGCAGTGAGAGGGTACTGGCAGGAGAGGAAAATGTGGTGAAATTCTCACTTAACAAGAGCTGCCAATTTCACACAAAAGAGATTAGAGACCCTGCTCACCAACCCTCCCCCCACATCTGATAATGAACTTGTGTTCTATGCAGATCCGGTCATGACCTGCACAAAGTCTAAAATTCTCTCCACGATTTCAAAGAATTTTTGGAGATTTAAGTTGTCTATTGCCTGACTTCAGAAACCTGCTCCCCTGCTTTAGTTTGGTCAGCTTTGTCTAATTCTCTTAGGCTGCTGAAGTGTACCTCTGCCCTGTTGTGCAGGACCCATGTCCTCTCTCCTCCTCTTCTGTCCTCATCCCTTTCTGAGCCACTCATTCTGAAGAAGAATTCAGCTCTGTTCACACCCTTCCCAAATTCACAATTGACCTTTCAATGCAGAGCAAGGGCCTTGCTCAACCCAGAGGTCATCTTCCCTCCATAGGGGATTTGCTTTTAAGCAGTATTTTGCTGATAAATAAAATTTTATTTTAACCAGATTTGGTCATTTTCAGTGTCTGGTATTTCAAACAAGGGGCTAGACAGGAGGTTTGCAAACTTTTTCTGTAAAGTACCAGATAGCAAGTATTTTAGGCATCACAGTTTACATGTAGACTATGTCAGAATTGCTCAGCTCTGCTATTATAATGTAAAAGCAGCCATGTACAATATGTAAGCAAACAAATTTGTTTCTAAAACAACAGACTGCCTAGGCACTGGTGGTTCATGCCTATAATCCTAGCTACTTGGGAGGCTGAGACTGGGAGGATCACAGTTCAAAGACTACCCAAGCAAATAGTTCATGAGACCCCATCTCTAAAAACAACCAGAGAAAAATGAACTGGGGGTGTGGCTCAAACAGTAGAGCTTCTGCCTTGCAATTGCAAAGCCTGAGTTCAAACCCCAGTCCCATCAAAAAAAAAAAAATAACAACAAAAAAAAACCCCCAAACCAAAAATATTATAAAGTAATATTTTAAAGTATTAACTAAAAGAATATAGAATACAGATTTCCCCCCACAAATTTTAAATGCAGTTATTTACCTATAAACTATAATTGCCATGTTAATATGTGCTTGCTTTCTTTGTTTATCATGTTGCCTTGAGTGAATTGCAAATCATTCATAAGCATTCATTTAAAAGTAGTGCCTTACCTAGGCAATGTCTCACTCATCTACTCTGAATTACTTTAAAAATAATCACATTTTGGGCTGGTGATGTAGAAAGGTGGTAGAGCACTTTCCCAGTATGTGTGAGGTTTGGGGGTTTGATCACCAGCACTGCAAGATCACCAAGAAAAAAACATGATCAAATTTTGTTATCTTACCTTACCTTTGCAATGTAAATTTCTCATGAATTCTATTATCTCCAAATAGTATAAAGTTGTGAAATGATCTTGTATATTTAATTTTGTTAATCTATTCTGGATTTAAATAACATTTAACATAAAACAAGGATCTATGCAAGTATAGTAAAATAACACACAATTCAAAGGTATTCAAGTGATAGCATGTACTGTTATTTTCCTAGGAATGTGGAGAAGGATATTATACCATTTTTATTCTATTGCTTTGACATGGTTATCTCCATCCTTTTGAGTCATATGTCTGTAAAACTTTTTTGACATGCATCCTCAAAATATGCGTCTCATTTCTATATAAATTGTATATCTGAACTGGCTAATATGTGCAGGCACCACATTCTTAGGGTGAGGCTTTTCATTTATCTTAGTCGTCTGTAACCTTGCAGGTAGTTAGTAGTCTGTTGGTTTTTCTCTGCTTTGGCCAACTTGTCAGATCTGATTAAATTTTTCATCACTTTTACTTTGTGATGTCAGTGATAGGACGCTTTTGGTAGGAGTTGTAAGAAGTTTTTACACTGTGACTTCTACTTTGCTTATTGCTTGCATTGTTGTTAATATTATCATTAACCTTTGAGTCCCTTGCATGAACCTTGACCTTTTGGGTTCTTTTAGTTTACAGGTACATATTAGCATCACTGTACATTTCAGTGCACTCACAGTGACTGAATGGAGAGGACAAGTCTCACTCCTCAGTATTGTGGAAGTCCCCTTCTTCCCTGAGGGCAGCTCTGTAATAATGTGAGAAGGATCCTCTGTTGTGATAACTGAAGGCACAGTGCCAACCCACAAATAAACCAATTAAAATGCTTTCTTTTTTGAGGAAAAGAAATACAAATGGAGGTTCCAATATTTTCTTCCCATACTGCAATGTCTATGCCTCTAAATAAACTTCAAAATGTATGAGACCAAAGTTGATAAAATATTTTCTTTTTCTAATCCTACTCTTGGATCATGAATTCTATTGTGATTTAGCTTTTCTTTTGTTTATTTTTGTTCACTCAACTAGTTTTTAGGCTCCAGCCCAGCTAATGTTTTGCGTACTCTTCTGAAGTTCTAGCAGTTTCACACATAGGCGAGTGTTAATAATGCATGTGCACATATTTCCCACAAAAGTGGGCTCAGGGACTATTCAGTAGGACTTTATTGTCTTTCTGAGGATAAGTGTCGTATTTTTTTTCCTGTTTGGAGTATTTTCTTGGGCCCTATAGTTTACTGCCTTTTATTTACATCATGTAAGTGGAGTTTCCTTCACTTATCATACTGCTCATTTAAACTGTATGAGAACCAGTTAACTTCCTTTTATTCTCATTCTGCTAGCCAGGTTAACCATTTATCTCAATATGGAGCTACTTCTGATTTGTAGAACATTCTTTTTATTTCATCATTTATGTCCCTGATAAAAGTCTTAGTTTCTCTGAGTTCAAGTCATGTATTCTCCAAGGCCCTTTTTTATATCCATATGATAAAATAAATTGGACAGTCCAGTCCTGTGAGGATTGAGGTAGCCAAGGTGGAGTCCTTAGTTCATGAAGGGTGGCAAGAGTGTGGGACTGATGCTTTTTGATTGGTTTATTGATGTTGCATGTCTATAAAGGACCCCAGTAACTGGTCCCAGGGAAGTGTCTAGAAGTAGAGGGAAGCACCCGATAGCCATTCTCTTTTTAAAGGGAACCATATCATTCACTTGACTAAACAGAAGGGGAGCTTTACAGAAATGCTAAGATCCATTAAAATCTCTGAGGTGGACCAGCATCTGTATTTTAAGAGCTCCCCAGTGATTCTATTAAATATCTAAGGTAGAAAGTTATAGGTGGAGAGGCTGGTGAGCTGATTGGGTCAATAGCAGGAAAATCAAAAGCAAGAGACCCAATACAGGGAAAGGAACTCAATAGTGGCAATAGAAGTTACCTATTGTAATGGAAAAGGCTGAGGAAAGATGACCAATTTCATAGCTTCAAATTGACACAGAAACAGAGTGTCATTTCCCTTGACTGCTTGTGTGATCAATATCACACAAGACCCAAAGTTACATGTTGGCAGAAAGAACCAAAGATTTATGAATTGACTCAAGAATGTTTGGCAGGCTTTGGAAGTTGGTTGGCTTATTGACAAACACTTCTAACTTTAGATGATCTTTTGTGAGTCTTTCTCCAATGAATATTTTACCTGCATGTTCATACCTGCACATACATACTGTCATTTGACCCAAAAATATTTTGTATATTATATGAAAATTTTATCCACAAAAGGTTTAATTAGTTTTATCCAAAGAAGGTGCCAGGGCTCTTGGATTGGTAAAAAAAAGGTAAAGTGAATCTGTCATGGTTGGTGCCACTCTTTTGATCTCTATTATGTGTTACTTTGCTGTGTGGAACCAGCCCAGGAGAGTAGGACTCTTGCTTTTTCGCTATAGTTCCTGTATCTAGGGAAGTATCTTATACTCTGTAAGTATTCGCTGAGCATTTGTCAGTGACCCCTGCAAACTCTGCTTTCGTTGTAGGAAGCAGTGCAAGTGTTGATTAAGCATTCAGCTGATGTCAATGCGAGAGACAAGAACTGGCAGACCCCCCTCCACGTGGCAGCAGCTAATAAGGCCGTCAAATGTGCAGAAGTGATCATCCCATTGCTGAGCAGCGTCAATGTCTCCGACCGAGGGGGGCGCACAGCCCTGCACCACGCAGCTCTGAACGGCCATGTGGAGGTAGGTATTTTCACCCATGGGAACTGGGACATCCCATACAGAACCTCTTAGCCACAAGTGGAAGCTGAATTTATTGCTGAGACTTTTAGAGAATGTGAGGATAATAGTTGTACATCACTTGGATGAATTCTGAAATTTAGAATTGAAAAGTTGGATGAATTCTGAAATTTAGAATTGAAAAGTAGGTTGTCATTTCAATCTTTTCCTTTGACACATGTCACAGGTTCTGCTTTGACCATCCTCTTCCTACTTTGCTAGGACTCCAGATCTCTGACCTGCTTTTAAAGTTGATGTTAAATTGCCTCAGATCACCTGCAGGCAGTAAGAAGTCCCCATCATTACAGAGTGAATGCTTGACTTTGTTGCTGGTTGTCTTTCAGATGGTCAATTTACTCTTGGCTAAGGGGGCAAACATCAATGCATTTGACAAGAAGGACCGACGTGCCCTCCACTGGGCAGCATATATGGGTAAGGATTCCATGCATGGAAAATGAAGTGCAGATGACCTTAGCTAAATAAGTCATGGGTCTCTTGTTGACCAAGTGGGTTTTCTCTCAGGTAAGTCTGACTTCAGGCTTGGGTTCCAACTGAATGAAGATTTGGCCCATGTTACTGGCCTCTCTGATGTGCTTTAGTCTGGATTTGAAAGCTGCACACATTGTGCTTATTTTAACTTGTGATAGCAGCAAAATAAGGTACTTAAAAAAGAAAGAGGACTGGCTAGCAAAGCAAGGAACAAGTGCCATTTGTCTTTTTATTTATAAATATTTTGGAAAGAAACAAAAAGGAAGGAAGAGAGGAAACCCCCTGGTTGTTTTGTAGGCAGAAGTAATCAGAGGCCACCTAGGTCACGTGCCTGCTGCCCTGCACACAAAGCTGGGGCCAGCAGCCTCACTTCTGCACACTCCACTCCAGAATGAAGGACAAGGTTACAGCTCTAGTTTACCTTTCCACTTTTGCTGGCACAAAAACCACAGACAAATGGTAGACTTCACAGAGTTTATTCTCAGTGCGGACTTAGACTTTGGAACAGACCTAAGATCCTTCCATTGTATTTCTAATTGGAGAACATCCTGCAATTAGGAAAGAAGATAGGATTCTAACAGTACCACATTGTAAACACCTGAATGCCCATCCACAAGCATCATTTTGGTAAATTCTGGAAGATCCACACAATGGGACACTGACTAACTATGGTGATGATGACCACGTGTATTAATTAACATTGAAAGAGTGTGATATGCTAACGGAAAAAATGGATCATAGAACTGTATAAGTAATATCTTCATTTTTGTAAAAAATATCTATACAATAAAAATAAATCTGGAAAATATTATATACTGAAATATTAACTGATTATCTCTAGGGATTGGTGATTGTGGGTAATTTGGGTTTCCTTTTATCACTTTTTTGTCTTTCTGACTCCTTTTTAATATCATGCATGCCTTTTATCATAATTTTAAATATTAGCATTAATTGTATGGAGAAAAAAAGGAGTGAGTTGGGACAGGGACGAAATAAATTATGTGGCTATAGATGGATTTGAATTAATACCTGGACTTTAAAAAAACCAAGAATCTTAAAACTTTTCAAACATGATTTTTTTTTTAAGTGGCATGGTGTTTCAAGTTGACTAAACTAGATCAAATGTCTTCAGTGGTACTACAGGACTAAATCCGTGAATATTTCCACAAGAGAGAGATTTAGGCAGAACACTGAGCTAGCGTGAGCTAGGACTCAAAGAATTTGGGATTCCAAGCTCATTCTTTGCTGATGTGTAATTAAAACATTGGGTAAAGGACTTTAAAGAAGTCAAGTCATTATCATGTGGGTCATCAGAATGCAAATAGTAAAAAAATATATGGATGGCTATCTTTAGGGGATAATAGGTTAAAATCAGGACAAAGAGTTTAAGGTAACACCACTAGTAGTTGAAAATACTTTTTTCTATATACAAGTCTTGGGAGAAAGAGAGTCAAATTTTAAGAAGTCAATACCAGTCTGTCTGTCTGTCTCTCTTTCACACATACACAAACAGAAACACACTCACTTAGATCCTGGAGTCTTGTACTTGTCTTCTACCCTTCAGTTGTCAACCATGCTCACAGAAATGACCCTGAAGCTTTGAACAATCTTCAGTTTGAAATAAAAGCCAAATACATTAATTATACAAATAATTAATATAATGAGTTAGGGAACAGGATAAAATATTCTAGAATTGAGATTAGAAGGGTTTTATGTTTATCCACTAATTCAAGAGAGTATTTTTATATTAAGTCGTATGAAATGGCCATTTTTATGAGTTAAAAGCCAACTATACAACAACAATTTCATGATTTAACAATATTCTTGGGGCATTCTGAATAATTGATTTTTTGTTTTTTTTATGGGTTTTTCCCCACTAAATTACTATTAGTCTTTTTTTAACAAGGAATAGAAGTTGTTTTCAAAAGCATTGCTTTCATTTTAGCACAAATTCAAAAGGCTGTGGTAGTAACATATTGTCAGGACCTGGTCCTTTGTTGACAAGGTGGCAGGCATCACTTCTGCTACATCTCTATGAATTCTGGCATATGAACGAATCATCTTTTTTTCTTCCCATAGCATTTGCATAATGCCTGACACATAATGGGTACTCAATAAATATTTGTTGAAGATCGGCCAGAAGGGAACTTTTTAAAAATAGCTCAGCAAAATACTGGTGGCAATAAAAGCTAATAGTGATAATTTAGGTGCAATGAATCATCAAGTTGTCCCATAAAGGTTAATGATATTTTCCGCTGCTTTGTTTGTCAAGGCCACCTGGATGTTGTGGCATTGCTCATAAACCATGGTGCAGAAATTACCTGTAAAGATAAGAAGGGTTACACTCCCTTGCATGCTGCGGCCTCCAACGGACAGATCAATGTTGTCAAACACCTCCTGAACCTGGGGGTAGAGGTGAGCCACAATTCATGCATCACTGTGTGTTTGTGGGTTTTCCTTTGTTCTGAAACTTAATCCAGTTTGCATTGTAATTCAAGGGGAGAAAAACTTATTTCCTAGCCTCCTCTGTTTTTGAGTTTACCAAGGCAACTGGTAAAGGGTGATGGGGGCAGAGACTTCAGGAAACCAGAAACAGGCTTTCTATGTCAACATAGAGAAATAGATAAACACACATATTCTATGTAATATCTACTAATCGGTCAAGAACGAATGAATGAATGGCAAGGGTACACATCTGATTTTGAGCTAGAAAACTTGGTTTATTCCATTCTTCAACTAGCACCGCAGGAGCAGTGGTGAGGCTCTGGGACATCCTGCCACTGGAGAAAAGGAAACCAAGCTGCTACACTGAGACCAGCCTGGTGACATCCAGCAGCCAGGGTGGGTCTTAGAAAGCAATAGGGAGCCATATAAGCACACCTCAGGACAGAGACACTGTTGTGTTCCTAGATGCAGCCTGATGAGGTATCAGACTCCAGAGCAAAAGCAGAGTGGGTTCTGAGGTCTGACAGTGTGTATAGGGTCCACAGCCTCCTCTTCTGCCCCCTCACCTTTTCTCTATGTTCACTGCTCCAGCCCTTGAGTTCCTCTCCTGATTCTTTGTTCTTCTTATATTTTGAAAGCAGCTTGACCTTTTACCCTTTATCTTTTTTATAGCCAGAAAATTCCTCTCTATCAGATGAAACCTCTAACTTTTCCTTTTGAGTCACTTTTTGTCACATTCAATTTTGCCAGTCTTTCCTTTGGGGAGATGAGTGTTCCAGGATAACCTGCTAGGGTGAGAGTAAGCCCTGAATAATTATGCTGATGGATGGATATTTCTTTTCTCTCTCCAGCCATTAGGCTTTTTGTGGAAAATGGATAAATTGGTTCCAGTGAATTTAATTGCCCTATATTGGACTCATTTGCAGATTGACGAAATCAACGTCTATGGAAACACGGCACTTCATATTGCCTGCTACAATGGCCAGGATGCTGTAGTTAATGAGTTGATCGACTATGGTGCTAACGTGAACCAGCCCAACAACAACGGTTTCACCCCTTTGCATTTTGCTGCTGCCTCCACTCATGGTGCTTTGTGTCTGGAATTGCTAGTAAACAACGGGGCAGATGTTAACATTCAGGTATGGCACTTAGACTCTCGGTGTTAGATACATTTGCGTTTAGCTTCTGTGTGAGCAAAAACGACTGCTACAAATTATACCATATTTTAGTGAATTGTAACCCTGAGCACCTTGACTCATACAGATCTTGTCCTGGGTTAGGATGCTTCTCCAGTTATGGTGATATGAGCTGGAAAGCACAGCCATATATCCTTGGTAGTGTAGGGAATGCTCCAGGGCAAACACTATCTTAAGGATGTTGACTTATTCAGATTCTAATTCAGAGATCAGTGTTGACCTGATAGTGCAGAACTGTTGAGAATTCAAAGGAAATCTAATGATTACCCTCTTGTTCCCAACCTTCGCATGGCTCTCAAATATTTTCCTGAAGCAAGCTGTGGCTTTAGGGATATAGCATTGACCTGGTCCTAATGATCATTCTTTTATTCATCCCATTTACTGAGGACTATCCAGTGTCCTCTGTTTACATGGAGGAGCACTCAAGATGAGAAATGGTAGGATTCTTCAAGGAATTTGCAATATAGCAAAGAGATAACTCACACTAGACAATCACTGGGCAAGAGAGAATGTAATGAGTGCCATGAGAGAGAGCAATGAAGTGTTGCAAAGTAGCAGAAGCATATATTGGCTTGCTTCTTGTCTGGGGATCAAAAATGGAGTTGGTTTTGAGCTGAGAAGATTTTCAGATGAGAGGAGGTGGCATAGAGATAATTAGAGAAATAGTGTGAGAGGAGAGTGCATGAAGAAAGATGTGGAAGCTGTGGCTAGGAAAAGCTGGGGGAGGTAAACTGTAGGTAACTATTCAGCTTGTTCTTATGGATGACCTAGGGGAATCTATGCATGCAACACTCATCTGGGTCACACTTGAACGTCCTACATGTATTAGAATATCCTAATCTGCACCAGGAGTTATTCCATTCATCTCATCTTTGCTGCCCATTCTCCTGAGCTCACAGCATACAAAACTGAAGTTCCAGTGCATTCTGTCTCTGACTTGGATGATTCCTAAGGTTTAATTTCAAGAATATCACATCAATTTATTTTAATGACCTTCTGTATTTAAAGTTAAACTTTTTTTTACATTTTTCTGCATAATTTCTAATGTTGGGGGAAATGTAGTGCAAACGTCCAAAATAACAATTTATTGTGATTGAACAGAGTTTAAAATGGATAAAGAAAGGACCAGAAATAAGTTGAGAAGTGACAGAACCAAAGAGAAGGACTCATCTCATAGCTGAGGAGTTTGGGCTTCCGTAGGCTGTGGGGCCACTAATTATTGTAGAGGTCATCTGATCAGACCTGAGCATTACAAACAATTATCTGGCCTCAGGACACCAAAAGGAGAATGCATAAAGGAAAAAAAGTATATGAAACTCCATGAAAATTAAAAATTTTTATATGTCAAGATAAAACAATAAAAAAGGAAAAAACCCATAAAACTAATATAAACAAAATTGAAAGAACAACTCGGGTAAATTTTTCTGCAACATATACATGGTAAGTCAAGCAAAATAGTTAATAAGCTTAATCTATAAAGAGTTCATACAAATCAATAAGGGAAAATCTGATAATCTACCAGAAAGTTTAGGCAAAGGCAGATCTCAAGAGAAAGATTACAATATCCATTAAGCCCATGAAAAAAATATTCAGTATCTTTAGTAATTAGAAAAATATAGATATATATATATATATATATTTTAAGACTGGCAAATATTGAAAAGAACAATACCTAGTATTAGCACAGCAAAATTTGCAGTAAAATATAATCCCATGTTTTAATTTTAAAGTTATGTGTCTGTGTGCATGCATAGAAAGAAAAATACCTGACTGTACACCAATACACTGGCATAAGTTATCACTGCAGAGAGATTCCTCGGTCTTCCTCATCTCCTCTGCCCTTGTGCTGATTTCCCAATTCCCTTTGGTCCTTAGTGGATGCAGATGCACTCTGGGTGCACGGACCAGTACCATTTCCACAGAGCCACCCTGTCTGACTCAGGAGGTAGCTTTCTAATTAAAGTTGTTATCTCTCTGTACCACATTGCTCCTTCAATTTTGAAAATATTTGTAGATGCAAAGCAATTTGTATTTGTTTAGATTTCCCAAAGTTTGAGAGAAATAGCATAGTGAAATATAGCCAATACCTACTCATTGTTCACCTTGTTTTCTTCTCTTTTCACAAATCACTGAAAATGAAGTCTTCATGAGTAATTACAAGAAGGATGGAAAGAGGAGGGGGATTATGCTGCATGCATTTTACCATCCCTCATTTTACATAGGTTAATTTTGTAATATTAGTTTAATTGTGATAAAATCATAAAAACATAATATTTTATAAAATAATCCAGCAGAGTTCCCTTATAATTTGCAAATAGAAAGAACATATCATTTTCTTCTCCATTACAGATCACACTGTAAGTTCTATAGCATCTCAGGGCTATTTTTATAAACATCCAAAGTAAGGGTTTAAAAAGGCACAATATGCACAGACATGCTGGATGAGACAGAAAGACAGACTCAGAAATTACTATAGCCAGGTTGTCCAAACCTCCTTATCACTATTATTCAGCTTCTCCATGTCCTCAATTCTTCTCTGTCTATGTGTCGGTAGAGAATTTAGCCTTGGAGATTGGAGCTGGAGCCTACCACAATGTCTGCTGAAGTGGACCAGCTCCCTTCTTTCTAGGTACCAGAACCTAATTAAAGAATGGATTGTGTCACAGAAGTTGACCGTATAAATTGGAATAGGCACTTGAGACATGGCACTTGGAACTTTGGAGAGAAAGTACAAGGAAAGGAATGAATGTCTGAAGTGACCATGTTTTTAATGATTTTTAACCTTTAAAAACAAAGCAAAATGGATTATGTATGGCTTTCTCAAACAAGCATTTAGGAAGGCTTATCGAGTTTTGGACTATATTTGATCCTCTCTTCCTGCTGCCACCACCACCAATGGCCTTGGAGGTTTTTTTGTACTCTTGTTGGCCCCTGTGATTCCAGGTGGGCCATGACACAGAGAACATCTTACTTTCAAGTCTCTGGGGACTAGCAGAGACTTCTCTAAGTTTAGGGAAAGTTTGTGGGATCTTGGAGGATGAGGAAACACGGCATTAGGAATAGAAAAAAAGAACGAAAGGATTTCTGAGGAAAATGATGTTCAAGAGAATTGGAATACTCCATTAGTTCAAGTATTAATTTTCCTTGGGCAATGGTGAGTTCTGTGATGGAAAAGTAATGATATTTGTCATGAAATATTCTTAATTTTCATTAGTTTTCCTTTATGACTTAGAGCTTAACCTTACATGTATCAACAAAAAAGCTTCTTGCTTAAGTAGGTAAATTCTCAAAATAATTTTTTTTTGAGACAGAGTCTTGCCATATAGCCTAGACTGGCCTCAACCTCCCAAGTTCTGAGATTATATGTGTGTGCCACCACAACCAGATTTCAAAGTAAATGTACAAAGCACAAATATGATTTGGAAATAGATCTAGAAAATTGGAGAGAGACTAAAAATTAAGAAAAAAATGTATGAAAGCAAAGCCTTGAGTAAACAGAAGAATTGAATATACCCTTTCTGGTGAGAACACATGGAAAGTTCCCCCTTGTTTGAAGTCCTAGGGACAGCAGCAACAGTCAAGTCACACGCATGAAAAATTTCTCATGAAGATGATGAAACCCAGTAGAATCCTGAGTGTAAATCCAAATATTCTGAGTTCCAAGTTTTAAAGAAAGGCTCAATCAAAAGTGTTATCCTTTTGAGCTTCATTGATTTTCAATGGCTTTTTGAAATAATGAGCTCCATCTATACCCACACCATATACACCAAATGCCCCAAAACAGCTGCCAGGGATACTCTTAGTACTTCTTATGGCCATCTTTCCCACCTCTGCCACTTGTGTTCTTAAGAAAAAACAAACGAATGAATGGCTTGTGGGCTAGACTTACTAGTACTTGAACCCTTCAAAGCTCTGCAAGGACTGGTCTGAGGCAAACATCACCCTGACCATATAGCCAACCTTTACGTTTTACTAACTGTGGTCATCTCTGTTTGTCCCTTTACCCAAGGAACAAACACTGCTGGGGGGAAGAAGAGTGTGCTGTTTGCTATCCCTGAAATGGAACTGGCTCTACTAACTACACTCTGTAGAAACCAATTCTGCTTTGGTTTCTGCCTACAATTTAGATAGCTACCAAGTTGGTACTTCTTGGTGAAGTCTTCAAGCTCTTTTCCAGGCATGGGAAAGTACTTAATTATTTATGAAGATATTTTCTAAACACTGAAATATTTATAACTGTATATATTAAATGATAATTATGTTTTCATATTAAATTTAAGAGAAAATACTGGAGCAAAATTTAAAGAAATAGCACCACCTAGGGACAACTTAATGTCAACTCTGAAATTCTGCCTGTTCTCTCCTTAGCCTTGGCTGTTCATTACTTTTTCATCTGAAGAGTATGTTTCAAATTCTTATCCCAAAGTAGTTTCCAGGCTTTCCAGTCATTTGAACTGCCTCCACTCTTAACGGCTGAGGAGGCTCTGGGGAGCTCTCCACTTATGTTTCGTGGTCGTGATGATGCTGTTTCCTTATTTGCTTGATTACTTCTCCTTTTCCTCTAAAAATACTATTTTCAGTAAAACATCAAGCTTGCTTCCATCCTTCTTTCTCAATATTTTTTTATTCTGGTTAGAATCACATTAAATTGATCCTATTATTCCTCCCATCCCCACCTAAGAATTTTTAATTATAATGGTATGTTTTTCAATCAAGAGGCAGTTAGCACTCTGATTAACTCTTCCTTGGCATGGGTTTTGTGTAAGTACTTTCCTCTTTCCTAAGGAATAGACTTACAGGATATAATAAAAATGCTTCCGTTAAAACCTTGTGGTTATATAAGCTATTTCAGTACACAGTCCAGAGCAATGGATCTTAAACTTTAGTGCACTGTGCAAGTTAGAAGTCGGGACCTCCTTGCCCCAATCCTAGTCCCGTAGTTGTGGGCTAGAACACAGAATCCATATTTCTAACAAGAACTCTGGGCGTAGGTAGATGTTGGTTCATCCCAAGATGCTTTCTTTTCAATGATTACTGATTTTCCAGTGTGAAGTTTTAAAGACAGTTCATTTTAAAGCATAGATATTTAAGTTTCACCACAAAAATAAACATGCAATTTTGAAGTTTTGTATTTTAATTTCAGACTTAGAAAAATGCTTCTGTAAGTCTAAACATTTCTATTTTAGAAAAATAGCAGTTACATGTATTTTAAAAAATACTTGAAGATACAGTTTTTCCTCAGCCTATGATGAAGTTAGCCCTCTCCCACCACAAACCCATCATAAATGGAAAATGCTTTTAACACACCTAATCTACTGAGCATCACAGTTTAAGAACATGGTTCCCTGTAGAGTGTCAACTGTTTACCTTCAAGGTGGGAGCTGCTGCTGCTCCACAGCTAAGAGATTTTCATACTACGCATTAATAACCCAGGGAAGGATCAAAGTATGGTTTCTGTTGAAGGTGAATTGCTTTTGCACCATTGTAAAGTAAAAAATTCTTAAGTTGAACCATTGTAAGGTGAGGACAATCTGTATATTCTCTCTATTAGGGCTGCTTTTGGTCTAAAATGATAGTGATATATTCTTTTGGGCTCATTTTCAGAAAAAAATGTTCATTTCTTAATTTGATGTGTTTGATATGATAATGATCAGTATATAGATTTTGTACATTTTTCCATGTTTTGGCTTAATCTATGTTGGGAAGTTCCATAATTTGTATCATAAATAGTAAAATGTATAAATTCACACACATTTCCAGCAGATCATTAAAATGTAAATTTCCTAAACAGCTGCATGTCTTAATCCTGTGGTTTCTAATGAGTTAAGTGAAGCAAGAGGTCTTTATGTTTTTTATTTTATTTTTTTTTTATTTCAATGGATGTTTGTGAGTCACCATTGTGTAGGTTTTTTTTTTTTCATTTTTCTTTTATTATTCATATGTGCATACAAGGCTTGGGTCATTTCTCCCCCCTGCCCCCACCCCCTCCCTTACCACCCGCTTCCCCCTCCCTCTCCCCCCCCCCAATACCCAGCAGAAGCTATTTTGCCCTTATTTCTAATTTTGTTGTAGAGAGAGTATAAGCAATAATAGGAAGGAACAAGGGTTTTTGCTGGTTGAGATAAGGATAGCTATACAGGGCATTGACTCACATTGATTTCCTGTGCGTGGGTGTTACCTTATAGGTTAATTCTTTTTGATCTAACCTTTTCTCTAGTACCTGTTCCCCTTTTCCTATTGGCCTCAATTGCTTTTAAGGTATCTGCTTTAGTTTCTCTGCGTTAAGGGTAACAAATGCTCGCTAGTTTTTTAGGTGTCTTACCTATCCTCACCCCTCCCTTGTGTGCTCTCGCTTTTATCATGTGCTCAAAATCCAATCCCCTTGTTGTGTTTGCCCTTGATCTAATGTCCACATATGAGGGAGAACATACGATTTTTGGTCTTTTGGGCCAGGCTAACCCAAGAGGTCTTTAGAGACAACCAAATGTGTTATTTTTCAGTAGAACTAGAATGTAGGGAATGGTAGAGGGTGTCCGGTTAGTTTTCAGAGTGGTGATTAATTAGTAACAGTTTAGTCCATTACAGGGCAGACACGACCATGCAAGTTAACACATCATTTGTCTTTTTGAAAGTTGAAAAAACACCTTGAAGGGAAACCTTTTTTGGTATATCATAAGACAGGAAAAGACATTTCAGATTGCTTCTCTAAGCTTCTTGAAAATGTGAAGTTATGTAGTAACTTGAGAGGTCATGCATGTTTTATCTTTTTCTTTCAAAATTATCTTTGTCTTTGTAACTACAGATCATATTTTTTTTTTAAAAAAGTGAAATTGATACTTTCGGCACACTGACAGCTGTATCCATGGGGATGTTTCAGATTGACACGTCACTGGCTCTTGAGGTCCATTGTTTCTTCTTCCCTCATTTTTTAGAGTAAAGATGGCAAAAGTCCACTGCACATGACAGCTGTCCACGGAAGGTTCACACGGTCACAGACTCTCATTCAGAATGGTAAGTGACATGCTCAGTACTGTGGTTATTTGAACAGCTTCTTGATCTGACTGAATTTGACTTCAGTCATTTCAGTGTGAAAGTTGATACTGTGTTTTAGATTTTTTTTCTTTTTTGGTGGTATTGGGGATTGAACTCAGGGCCTCCTGCTTGCTAGGCAGCTGTCCTACCACTTGAGCCATAGCCCCTTGCCCTTTTTGCTTTAGTTATTTTTGGAATAAGGTCTTGAATTTATGGGCAGGCCAGCCTGGACTATTTATGCTTCCTAAGTAGCTGAGGTGACAGTCACATGCCACCACACCCAGAGTTTATTGGTTGAGATGGAGGTCTCATTGATGTTTCACACAGGCTGGCCTCAAACCACTGTCCTCTTGATCTCCACCTCCTGAATAGCTAGGATTACAGGCATGAGCCACTACGTCTGGCTGTTTTAGAATTTTAGTAAGCATGGATTCTCACAATCCTTTGATGTCTTTTGCTGGAAGCTCATTGTCAGTCTTTATATCCTATACTTTTTTACTTTGAAACTAATAAAGGTAGGTAACATGCATTTTCTCACCACAAATCTAAGTTATTTTTAGATTTTAGAATTTACCATAGTTCCCTAGTTCATTAAGATACTTGAGCAAAGGTAGTAAGAAGATGACTCAGAGGAAGAATAGGTAAGTATATGATATAAGGCATCATAAAACCACAGGCTTGACAGAGACCTGGGAAAGTCACGTAACATAGTAATTTTCCAGGCTCCCAGCAAAGGTGTACTTGAACAATCATTGGGCCATCTCAGCCAAAGTACCAAGGAGTGTCTCTTCACACGATGGCTTCCATTGCTGTTCATGGGTCATGGCCAGCATCTGTGAATATGTTGGCTTTGACAACACAATTTATGTTATCTTAGCAAATCTTACAGGCAATTAAGAACATAGCAAAGGTTAGCTCAGATCTTAAGCAAACATTCCAGGTCGATTAGGCATTTTTTAAAAGTAGTTTCTTTTATTGAGCCTGCATTTCCACTTCTCTAAGTCCTGATGCTAGTCAATTTTCTTGGAGCTTGTTTTTTCTCATCTATAAGAATTTTGGGGAACATACACCAGATTGCTAGTAGCACTGAGTTATGTCTTAAGCACTCAAGACATAAAACCAAAAAGTCATTTGACATCTGGATGGAAGACCAGTCACTGAAAATATGCTTAGGAAGCAAAATATCTGTGGCAAAGCAGAGAAAATTTATAAGCATTTCAGTGAAGCTGGAGGAGAAAAAAAGCCTAACAAATATCCAGTGAGCCAAGGAAGGGAAAATGGGAATCAGCTGCATAACACCCATTATTTCTCATTTGAAATGCCTTTGACATTCATTTTATCAAAAGGGGCACTTTGTTTTATTTTGCTGACTATAAATAAAGGAAAGAGGTGACCCTGGCCTCTCTTGTTTAAGCATTTTTCTTACCCCACAGTGTTTCTCAACTGTTTTTCAGAAACAATGTGGGTCTCATTAAAAAAAAAAAAGAAACTTTAAAGAAATTTGATGTGAATTTAACCAGTGGGCCTTGGCTATATGGCAACTGTTGTTCCTTGTTAAAGCAATCTCAAACAGAAGAAACAAGGCTGGGAACAGAACAGTTTTTTACCAACTAAGTATTGCCTTCCCTCAGTCCATCCCGGTGTGCCAGGCCACACTTTCATCTCCTTGAATAAGGTCATGACCAGCAACCCTTTGCCATGCCAGTACTCTTACAACAGTCCTGGGGGGAGGAGGGGCTGGGCTGCTTTGACCTCTCTCTGAGGCATCCTGTGGGCTCAAGGACCTCCATGCTCTCGTTGGATATTCTTGCTGAAGTTTAAAGTTGGGACAAGAACTGGAAGAAGCCCCACCTCTTGCCCTCTGTTCAAGGAAACTTTGTTTCAAAGATTGTTCATTCTTGGCTGGCCTGGTATCTTGCTTGTACATCAGGTGGGGTCTGCTGGCCTGAAACAATGAGGCTATAGTAGCTACAATATATGTGCTGTTACGTACAGTGATAAAGCTAACATTGGTTGAGTGGTCACTCTGTGGCAGGCATTTGGCAGACACTTCATATTAATACTTCCAACCACCCGAAGAGAAAGGGGTGCTATTATTAGACCCATTTCAGAGATGGGGAAAGTGAGGCAGCGAGGTTGTCATTGGTGTTAGGATACATTAGCAGTACACTGAGGAACAGGGATTGCAATACAGGCAGTCTAACACCAGAGACTGAACTTTCAAACATCATACTTACACATCTGTGCTCTGGAAGAACAATACATTACTTTTTTTAACTCGGGTCTATTTCCTCTAAGAGGCACACGTATTTGGAATAGAGTTGTTCCTGTAAAAGAAGAATTTGGTATTCTCTTCTCTCAGCTGACAGTTCTTTGCACTCACCACACATGTGAGAATTGTGAGCTCTTCCATATGACATTTTTGAACATTTGAAAAAATCCCCTTGGGGAGAATAAGAAGTTCTTTTCTTTCCTCCTGTTTGCTGGCTTCTTTGTGGAAAAAAAATCCTGGCACTGTTCCCTCCCCAGAGGCGCACACTCCAGGGCCTGGTGTCAGTGTAGGCTGTCACAGCACATGGGATCCATTCTGTCCTTCCTGAGCTGGGTTGCACACCACATGGGAATACTGTATGGCTCCCTGAGCCCACTGAACATGCCACCCAGGGGTGTTCCTGGTATCTGTTTGTTTGGTTGGTTCAGCCATTGTGGTGTTTGGACTTCACAGCATTTCCCTGATTCCCAGGGCCAGAGAGATTTGTTCCTCATAATAATTCCATTTTCCCACAATCATCCAGCTTTGGTATGACAATCATTGAAATATACTCTTTTCTTTCTCCGTTAGGAAATAAAGGGTACTTGAGTTTGTTGTCTGAGCTGCACTATCATAGCAAGAGAGGGAAGGGAATACTCAAGTCTGGTTTTAGGAGGCGTTTGATCCAGCCATTGGCACGAGGCAGCTGCCTCAGATGGTATCCAGCAAGTTACAAAAGTTCAAAAATGATGCTGCCTGTCCTCACAGAAGATTTAAAAAGAAATACAACTGTACAGGAAGAGTCCAGTACTAGTTAGGGTGACTCAACGTGAGATTTTTGACCTTTTGCCTCACAACCCGTCTGAGGCAACTTAATGGGATGACCATTCTTGTTTGTACAATGAACAACTAATTTCAGACACTTGCTTAGATAACGCTGATTGACTATCCCTTCTGACCTGTTCTGCATACTTTTAAACTCACAAACCAGTATTTTCCTCACTAATTATTAATGATCAATCAACATTTAACTCACAAACTTTAGATGAATAGTAAAGATTTAATTCGCATCTCAAACATGTCTTACAGAAAATGAAAGGTTTGTGGAGTGATGATAAAATAAAAATTCACTCATCCAGAGGTCTTACTTTAATACAAAACATATTTTTAAATAGTAAATGCATAGTCTCTCTTTTATTTTTGTATTAAATTATGATGCTTGAAATGTATCTTTTTGTGGTGGTACTGAGATTTGAACTCAGGTCCTTGCACTTGCTAGGCAGGTACTATACCACTTGAGCCACATCCTCAGCCCTTTTTCCTTTATTTTTTGACAGGGCCTTGCACTTCTCCCAGTCAGGCTGGATCATGATCTTCCTATTTATGCCTCTTGCATAGCTGGAATTACAGGCACAGGCAACCATGCCTAGCATTATTGGTTGAGAGGGAGTCTCCTTAAATTTTTGCCTCAAACCACAATGCTGCCAATACCTACTTCCCCAGTATTGGGATTACAGACATGAGCCACAATGCCCAGCCTTCAAAATAATCTTAAATGACAACAAAAGCCTCTATAGATGATAATTGTCTATATTTACATGATTTAAAACTGACTTGTGAAATGACTGTAACAAGAAGAAGAAATTTCCCCAGCTCAGATCTCTTTCCTACCTTTCCTGATATTTTTAACTCTTCTCTTTCTCTACCCAATTTTGTCATATTTGGGACTGAACCTGGAGGCCTTAACATGTCTTCAGAAAGGTGTGTTGGCTCTTGGCTGGGAAGGAAGTGGGATGTTGTGCTTTTGTCCAGGGCAAAGGGTTCTCTGAAGTCTGAGGATGCCCCCGTTCTCCATGGCCCCAGATCAATTCCATGACCGAACCTTTCAGGCAGTCCTTGGAAACATGCACTCTAGATTGCACTGAGGTACCTTGTAGAGCCCAAATGGCTACCTGTCTCCAAAGATGTCGTCAAGGCATAAAAGTGAGCTGATCTGGGTGCTTCTAAAATCACATCATAGTGAATTTTTCTCTGCTTCCCTATAGATGTCAATAATTAACTTTTTTATTTTTCCTGATTCTAAAATTAGTACATGCTCACTGAAAATGAAATCATTAATGAGGTCCCCATGAGTCTACAAATATGTCTCCCCAACCCTATCCCCAGAATTTCTCACTGACAATCTAGTGAAAGTTCTGGATTTTTCTATTGATTGAAGAATATATGTGTAAAGACATATAATTATTACTTTTACAAAAACGATCATAATCTATGTACTTGAGTAACTCATTTTAAACGCCATACCACAGATGGAGATTTGAGGAAAGATCAGCATTTGGATCCAAGTTGCCATTTATATTTCTCTGTCACGGTCACGACAAGAAGGGATTACCTTTCTGTAAACAGCTACTAAGTGGAAAACCCACACATGTAAACCGATTGACAGCAGATTGATTTTCTGCTAAACTCTACACAAAGACGTATTGGTGAGAGAGTGAAGCTACTTACATTTTGTGCATTGACTGGAATTTTTGAAACATTTATTCCTTCTACAAGGTCCACATATTTTTGTAGTTATTTCACTTTGTAGCAAAGATTCTTATTCACTAACTCTATGATTTACCAATACTCCTGGCCAGAAAATATATTGTTTGCTGAAAATGGACCCTGGGGATTTGTTGGTCATATGGACATTAAGGTTCAGAGAGCCACCATCGCACGGATTTTACAATGGTCTTATCACAACAGACAACGTCCCGGCCTCTTTCCTTGGATCGGAGAAGATTCTCAATGGCTTCGTTTTGGTCTGGTGTCTGAGTATATTTCTAATGGGGCTGGGAATGTGCACAGCACTTCTCGAAATTCATTTCCTAGTGTCTGTCAAGTGTCTTAAAAATGTTCATACTTCTAAGTAGTTCTAGTTCTAAAAATGTTGCAGAAGGAAATAATCTGAAATATAAAGATTCATTCCTATGTTTTTCTTGGTGGCAAAAATTTGGGGTTAGCCTCCATACCTAGCAATTGGAGACTTGATAAGAAAATTCTCTCAATACTGATATTGTACACTGTGTGCAGTTATATTAATGAAAATTAATGGAAAATAATTGTGATGTAACGTTAAAGGAGAATGCAGGATAGAAAACTTTCTACACTATGATCTTGAGCCTGGGAAAGCTGTACACACATGCTTGCACATACACACGACCAGAAGGAATATTCCAGAATACTAATTCTGACTATCTTGGATAATCAGTGAATTTATGAATGACTTCTATTTTCTTCTTTGTATGTTACTGTCTTCTACATTTTCTACAAACAGAAAATCACTTTCTTAATCAGAAGTAAATAATTTAATACCAATCTATCGTATCTTTCTAGATTGATCAAAGCCATTCATATAATATTTATATTTCTCAGGATTTTATACTTTTTATTTTGGCAAATATAGATTCATATGTACAGTTTAGATGTACACACAGGACATTCTAGCATTACTATATTATACCAGTATATTTTAGCTTAATATCATTTACTTTTACTCAATGTAATTGATAATGAAAATAAGATTAAAATTGATGAAAATTTGTTGATTATTTTGTAAAGCATATTTTTCCAATGAAATCAATTCTAAAATATCTAAGAACATGATTCCATAATTCAATAATTTTCCATAATGATGCAGAGACTTGATCCTTAGCAGGATAGCTAAGAAATAGAACCTCAGAATAACTTTCATGTATACCCCACTGTACTGGGGATTTTCAAAAATTGAAATAGAAGTGTTTATTAGCTTAAGTAGAAGTGCACATAACTTAAGTAAACATAAGTATCCACTGTGACTCCCTCACACACACACTTAGTTTATTTATACTTTATCTTTTTCTATACCTCTTTCAGGCCCTTCAGTTTTCTTCTCTCCCCCTTCCCTCCCCTCCCCTCCCCTCCGCTCCTTTCCTTCCTTCCTTCCTCCCTCCCTCCTTCTTTTCTCTCTCTCTGTTTCTTTCTCTCCTCTCCCTTCCTCTTCTCCCCCCACCCCTCTCCTCTCATTAGAGTATTACTACGTAGCCCAAGCTGGCCTTGAATTCATGGTACTCCTGCCTCAGCCTCCCAAGTGTTGGAAGTGCAGATGTACAGCACCATTACTGGCAGACCCTTCCTTTTTAATTGAGGTATATTTCACATACTATAAAAGTCACCATTTTAATGTATAATTTCAGTATTTTCCAAAGGTTGCACAACCATCACCACTCTCTAATTCCATAGGGTTTTCATCACTCCAAAAAGAAACCTCATACGCATTAGCAGTCACTTCCCATTCCTTCCTCCCCCAATCCCTGGCAACCACTAATACACTTTCTGTCTCTATAAGTTGCTCAAGGACTTTTCTAGGACTTTAATTCTTTCAGGCATTCAGGAAACATTTATTTAGTCAGGCAACTGAGACACCATCACCAAAATAAACTCCAAATGGATTAGATGTCTCAATCTAACAAAGGAAACCCCTCCAGTATAAAAAACATGTATTAATTTCTTTGTTACCAGAATGTGGAGACAGCCTTCCTTTCTATCTTTTAAAACCCAAATACAGTAAAAGACTCATAAATTAAATTTTTTTCCTGAATAAAGGCACCGTAAATAAAACCAAAAGACATAGAAAAACCTGGGAAAAATATTTATAACATGTATTGCTAATAAATGCCTAATCTCCCAAATGTTTTAAGAGCTATTGAAAAATCAAGGAATAAAATACATACACGCACGCATGCACATTTAGAAAAATGGGCAAAGTCATGAAAAAAGTTCGTAGGAAAAGGTAAACAAACGGTTCTTTGATATAGGAAATATGTCTAACTTCCTTCATAATATGAGCAGTGCAGATGAAAACTCCATTGAGATTCCTGTTTTATCAAATGACAGCTATTCAAAAGTTTGACCAGCCTGTGGGGAAAAGGTGCTCACACACAGTACTGCTTAGAGCACAGAATTGCATAGTGCCTACAGAGAGAAATTCAGCAAAATCTAACAGAACCACATATTCACTTGCCCTTTATCCTAGAAATTTTCTCGGTCCATGTGTCTGACAAACCTGAAACTGCATATATACATATGCGCTTAGTCACTGCAGTGCTCCTGATAATAGCAAGATGTTATTTGCACCCTAATCATAGGAGACCAGTGTACTAAACTAATGCACCCAAGTCATGGAAAACACTCAGACAGGACAAAAACACAGATGATCTCAAGACGTGATCCATAGGAGTGACTTCTAAGATATATTAAGTGGCAAAAAAACACTTTACAGAGAAACACAGGAAGCATAAATTAAAACTAATAAAAGTGATTACTATAAGGAAATAGGTGAGGTTGAAGTAGATGGAATGAATGAAAGTGAGGCTTTTTAAAATATATAATTTTGACTTGAAACATAAATGTCTTACATATTAATAAAGTGAAATAAATCAAATCTAGGAAACATTTTTAAATTAGCAAAGTCAAATACAACTAGCTATGTATCAAAATGATAAGCACACAGAATAAAGAATTCTGGTCACTTTTGAACAAGTACTCCCTGTCTATGTTAAAGTCACAGTGAAAAATCTTGCTTGGAAATTGGATATTTGCAGTCTTAAAGTTTTATAAAATGCTTGTTAATTACAAAGGGGAAGGATGTTTTTGCACTAGCATGTGTTGGCAGACACATGCTGATGAAGTAATCAAATTTCTTTTTATTGAAGTAAAGCATATATGACATAAAGTTTACCATTTTAGCCAGTTTTAAGAATTAAAAATGGCATTCAGTACATTCACATTCTTGTACAACCATCACCAACATTCGTTTCCAGACCTTTTTCATCTTTCCATCCTGAAACGCTGCGCCCATTGCACATAATCAAACTTGCATCACTCAGCAGTGGGATAACAATGGTGCATGTACTGAAGAGATCCAGTAGAGATGCCGTGGGAAGTTCACATCAGCCCATGAGGTTTTCTTGTCAAAATGTTTAACCTGGATCTAACAATGAGGAAGCTGTTAGACAATTACAGAATACAGGACATCCTACACAACCTGGCTTGGTCTCCAAGAAATATCAGCAACATGATAGACTTAAAAAAAATAAAACAAAAAAACAGAGCTCCAGTGGTTAGGCATATAATCCTGGATACTTGGGAGGCTGAGATCAGGAGAATTGTGGTTTCAGGCCAGGCCCGGCAAAAAGTTCATGAGACCCCCATCTCAACCAATAGCTGGGAGCAGTGGTGTGCACCTGTCATGCCAGTTATAGCAGAAAGCATAAATAGGAGGAACACAATCTAGGCAGGCCTGGGTAAAAAGTAAGACACTATTCCCAAAATTATCAGAGCAAAAAAGGGTGGAGGTGTGGCTCGTGCAGTAGAGTACCTGCCTAGCAAGCATGAAGCCCTGAGTTCAAACCCCAGTACCATAAATAGATGGATAGATAGATAGATAGATAGGTAGGTAGGTAGATAGATAGATAGATAGATAGATAGATAGATAGATAGATAGATGGCAGGCAGATTGTTTTAGATTAGTAGAAACTAAACAGACATGACAACTGCCAGTAGGGTCTTTGATTAGATCCCAGATTCAAACAACAACAAAATATACACAAAAAACAGTTTGAGACAATTGAAGTAAGTAGAATATGCACTGTATATTAACACCAATGTTAAATTTCTTGGATTTGATAATGGGATGTGCTTATGTGTGAGAATGTTTTTCTTCGTAGGAGAAACGTGTAGGGGTAAAATGTCATAAAATCTAATTTATTTTTAAATGATTCCCCAGATAAAGAAAGAAAAGTGAAAGTTGTATTTTTTTGGAGGACAAGAGGCAATATAAAACAAAACAAGATGAAAATATTGTATTATGGAAAGAATTATAGGCAATGTGATCTATTTAATAAACATGTTCATTTCCAGTTAATAGGTTATACTTTCACTCATGTCATGAAGCTAGATAATCAAACTATATGGAATCTTTTCCTAAATTCTCTGTCTGCTTTGGTTCTTATGTTTAACATGATGTTCCACAGGTCTTTAGTTTTTTTAAATAAAATCAAATGTGTCTTTGGAGTTATATTTTATCAAATTTGATTATGTTGTTCATTTAGAGCAGGAATCTAGTTGTAAGATTTTAGATCCTTAAATAAGACAGTATAGGAAGATTTTCTAGAAGCATTTCTAATAGACTTCTCTCTCTGCAGATATAATGCTACTTGTACTTCAGATGGTGGCTTGTCCCCTTGAAAAACATTCTTATACTTCAGAGTAGAGATGCACATCGGAAGAGAAAAGAAACCAACATTCGATCAACAGAAGTGACTAGCATAGAACGTGGTAACTGAATCAACCTGAGTCCTCATATTATACTGTATTGAACTATCTCTTTCAGGAGGTGAAATTGACTGTGTGGATAAGGATGGCAACACTCCTCTCCATGTGGCTGCAAGATACGGTCATGAGCTTTTGATTAACACCTTAATAACCAGCGGAGCTGACACAGCCAAGTAGGTGACTGCAAAAATATGGTGGTGTGATTGCCATACACGGGAATGCTGCCAAAGGGCTCCGCTTTGCTGTTTATCCAGGTTAAGGTGCATCTGTACCATAATACGAAACACAAATTAAATCCTAAGCAAATTAAGTGACTTTTAATGACATATGCAAGGCAGAACCAATTTTATTTTCTAGCCACATCAGAATGAAGTCTAGTCTCAGTGGTTTTAATTAAGGAAACTTGAATTTTATTCCCAACTCTGCTTTCTAGTGGTTCTTTGTTCTTTCCAATGCTTGATGTTAGCTAAACAGGAAAGACACTTGGGAAAATTCAGAATTTATTGAGTTCTTGCTTAGTTTTAAAGATACATTTACAGAGTGCAATTAAGTTGATCTGCCACATAGGGAAATTTGTGTTTAATTCAACAGTAATACATAGAGCATCCACACTGGTCTGTCACAGTGTTGGTGGGGACTTCAGAAGAAGTTACCTGATTGGGGTCTTCAGGGAGATTACAATTTTGTTGGCCTAAGTCCCACTTAGGACAAAGAGTCATGCAAGGTGGTGTGTCATAAAGTCCTAAATGAAACAGAACATGACTAGCAAAATGTTTGGCAGATGTGCTGTAGAGTGTTGACTGGAAGGAGAAAACTCAAAAATGGTGAAGGGTTTCTAAAAAGGCTTCAAGGAGAAAATGAGTTTTAACAGGCTCGGGAGGATGTAAATCACCCGAGCAGAGCAGAGGGTGGCAACTGTCCTGTGCACGGAGGAAAGCAGCAACAAGAGAAGAAGAGTACACCTAGAGAAGAGCTAGCCTGTGCAGGAGAGGGTAGGTGATGATGTGTGCCCAAGGGTGGTACCATGTGGTGCTTCCAGACTCTGCCTAGACTCCAATCCAATCTGCCTCATTTCTGAGTTGTGTGACTTTGAGCCTGTTGCTCAATTCCTCTGTGCTTTGGTTTCTTCTTTTGAAAATATGGGAGTAATAATAGCACCTATTTTAAAGTTTATGATGATTAAATAACTTAATTACTAGTAAAGCTCTGTGGTATATAGTAAGATCCAGAATGGTGTGAGTTATATAAGTATATCAGCTAAGGTTATTAAAAAGATAACCCCTGCTAAGAGCTCTGGCACACAGTGAGCTATCAGTAAGTGTTAGCTATTATTTTATTACCTAATAATATGTAATAGAACCAAATTAAAGAGGACCTTAAGTGCTTGAATGCAGACTTCAGCCTTGATCACAAAGACTGTGGATAACTATAACTGAATTTTTCAAAAAAAAAATATGAGGGCAGCATGTATCAGGAATTCTGTTTATTTGTCAAGTGTTATGTAATAGAATTGAAAATCTTGTTTGGGGATGAGCCAAAATTTACACGTTCAGGGAAGTTCATGTTTTAAATCAGATTTTCCTAAGAAAATCTTGGGATTTTCTTATCAATCAGGTGTTCTGGATTGGAATTGAATTATATGCAACACTGGTAGCCTTGTAGGATAAAACAGTTTACCTTCACCAGCCCAACATTAAATTGAACTGGGTTCCAATGACCTTCTGGACTTTCAGTCTAGTGGTAGAAATAGAACAAGAGCAAATGACTACAGTATTGTCAGATTTGTTACAATGGAAGTTTGGACCCTGGTCCAATTCTATGGGTAAGTATGAGTAAGGGAAACACTAACTCTCTTGGTGCCCCAGAAGAAATGATATTCCAGTAAAAGGAAAGATATGCAGGCGTTTGCCAGGTGGGCAGAATTGTGGGATTGAAAGACAGACAGAAGCAAGGAAGGACCCTCTGTGAAGAAGGAACAGCGTTTATAAAGGCATTACATGTGAACATGGTGAAGGCAAATTTCTAAAGCTGGATAAACCTGATGTATAAGGGAGTGGGAAGAAATGAGGTGGAAAGGCAGGAAGAGCCACATCTCAAAGGTCCTCACATGTCCTGCCAAGGAATTGGATTTCATTCTGAGGCATTCGGAAGCTGTTAAAGCATGGTAAGTGGGTGTAGGGTAGGTTGTGTCTAATGATCCCATTTTGTGTAAGAAAGATCGCTCTGATAGCCATCCAGACATACTGGCGGCTGTCCAGACTGAAAACACTTGGCAGCCTCCTGCAAATGTCCCAGGAAGAAAAGATGAGGTCTTGGGCTAAGGACAGGCTAAGGGCCCGCAGAGGAGGGGGTGCTGATAGACAGTATTCGCAGTGGCTGTCTCTTTTTAGAAGAGAAAGGAGTCCACTGTGAGCCAAGGCCCCTTTGCAGGGGCTGGGGCAAGTTAAAGAAGCAGCTCAGTTTTGTGTCAAGAGTGCTATACTTGGACTCTGGAGGCCTTCCCAGGTTCTGGAATTCCAAGCCAGACCTGGCTGCACAGAGCCAGAGGTCAGAAAATCTCAGTGTTCATTAAGTGGAAAGAAAATATATACAAACCAACTTGAGCTGTCATGTGTTAATACTAAGTACTATTTTTCTTTCGACTTTGGTTAATTGGGGAAATTTTAGCTAAACAACCATGACTTTCTAATTTTCTTCCAGACTTGAATACATTTTAGAGATAAAATAAACTAGGCCCAATACTTACTTAAAATTTCTCAAAACAAAACAAAAACTACTTGAGTCAATAAGTCTATGTATTTGTGAATCTGTGCGTATGTGCAAAGAGAAACCACCTTAGAAGAAAATATCAAAATGAAGGGGGGGAGAATTAATTTGCTAAGAAAATTTCTAGGTTCCTTATAGGTCTATACAGGATAACTTACTAAAGAGAGAAATCAGACCTTTCCTTCTATAAATAAGTAAATAAATAGAATTTATGAAAATAACCTATCTGTGACAGCTTTCATTACTATAATAAATGCATGAGCTAAATCAATTTAGGGGGAAGAAAGTTTATTTTGGCTCACAGCTTTAGAGGTTTCAATCTGTGTTTAGCTGGCCCTGTTGCTTTGGGCCTGTGGTGATACAGAACATCATGGTGAGTGTATGTGGTAGACGAGGTTTATTTATCTTACGATGGCCAGCAAGCAAAGAGAAAGCATGGGGAAGGGCCAGGATCCCAATAGCCTCTTCAAGAGCACACCCCCAATAACCTAACTTCCTTCCCTAGGCCCCCCTACATAAAAGTTTCACCACTTCTCAATAATACCACAGACTGGTTACCAGGTATTTAGCACATGGGCCTTTGAGGGACAGTCAAAATCCAAACTAGAGCACCATCTCCATTTATAAACAGTTTGACCAAATGTATTTTAAAGCTGTCTGTATGACATGTTTTATTGTGATTATTTTCTTAGGAGTTTATTTGAATCTTACTGTCAACCCTTGATTAAAATGTTCCTTGTTATTCTTTTTGCGGCTCTGAACTTTAAGTCAGAGTACTTTCTGTAACTTGACTCCAGCCAATAGGCTGGAGCCCTCAATTTTTTGTGTTTTACCTTTGAGGGGCACTTGTCCTAGCATTTTAATTTGCCTTTACCTTTCCAGTTATGCCCTCAGCTCTTTCTGCCTCCATTGAAGCAAAATTAAGGGTCTTTTCATTACTCAGATAACTGGCTGTGACCGTTAATATATGCTGAGGACCTGTTAAATGTCACCCACTGGGCCAAATTCTGGGGTTACAGATTTAAACAAGTCATTACTATCATGCATGCCAAGTGTGATGCCAAAGCAATTGTCAGGTACCACTGAGATACGGGAAAATATATCCTGGATGGGAAAATTGGAACATCAAATCTTGTCTTACAAGGCCAGGATGGGCTTCCTGGAAGAAGCACCGGGGAACCAAACTGAAGGAGGAGTAGTGATTAAGTAGGTCATGGTGACAAGTGTATTTTAGATCCTCAGTATTGATTTATTTTTATTAAAACATTAGATTAAATAAAAATTGCTTGGACTTTTGACATTAACATATCAGTATTTTAAAAAAGCTGTTCAGTGAATGCAAGTAGAAAACAGCAAGCCTACGGGGAAGTGCTGTGCTTATCTTTATCGCAAAGAAGTCAGTGAGGCACACAGAGGCTCAGCTTCCCACTTACTGTCACAGAGCTGGCGAGGGGCAGAAGTGACCGCCCTTGAGCATGTGGCTCTGGAAGCACAGCACCCCAGCATATGACTTTCTGCCACTCTGCATCCCAGATGACGTATGGCTCACATTGTGCAATGTTAAGTCAGTGTTTGCATGGGATTACGGTCTTGGTGGCTGACACTTCAGAGTTTGATATGCACTACAAGACTAGTGGCTTTGCAGTGGGCTTGTCACCCAGCACAGAGACCTTTATTCTTACTGCCACATTTTGTTCATAGGAAGGCTCAGTGGCCTGCATTATCGTTGACTTTCCCTAGACTGAGACATGTCCTTTGTCTAGCAAGCCCACTTTTATTCTTTTCTCATTGACCCATGCCAATACTGGACACAGTGGGACCCTATGCATGAACACGGGTACAGATGAACATGCGGAGGTATTATGGTGAGAAAGGGACACTCAGATGAGCCCAAATATGCTTTGATTCCAGTTGTTTCAGGTTATCCTTGAGAGGAAATGACAATTTAAAAATCCTCACAGAGAACTCTCAAGAACCCAAAGAGATTTCCAGAACTGTCCAGGGATGCTCTAACTAGTTTAAGAAGCTTTATGAGAAGCAGGGAAGAAAGACAAGAGTCGCAGGTGTAGAGACAAGTGTGTGCACAAGTCAGGAATCAGGACAGAACCCAGCTCTTGGGAAGAAAAGATAGTTCACTGAGATTCTAGAATTCCCATAGATTTGGCAATGACTGCTTTCACAAGAGGCCTTCCTGCTGTGCTGTGGTGTTTGGACTTATTCAAAATGTCTGCACGCTGCAGGACCAGGTCTCATTGTCAACTAAACTGAAATGCCTATAACTTCTGGGTAAATAATAAGCATTTAGAATGATATAGATAAAATTCATAAGAAGTTTGATTTATTTAAAATTTGGGTAAGAATCATAAAACTATTCTAAATTTAGGAAATGTTTTTGTCTTGCCCACTCAGTGAGCAAAACAAAACCAATTCCACTTCCCCAGGAAAATTGTGAGCTAAATATTGTAAAGGATTTAGAAAGATGGAAAAATAAACAGAAATGCTAGCTGATCACAATTCATTCTCAGCTTCTAAGGAATCACACACCTAGTTTTAAGGAAACACACCCCGATTATAACTCCACAACTCAGATGGTCAATTACCAATTAAACTCATAATAATTGCAAGGGAAATAATGCTACTAATCTGGTCGATAAGGGCTTACCATTGGCCAGATGCTTTATTTAGCACTTTGATTGCGTAATCAAAGTCCTGATTGCGTAATCAAAGTCCAGTGAGTCCTGACAATCATTCTGTGACACAGACTCTGTAATTATCTTTATTTTCCTGATGAGGGGACAATTACGTGCTACCAAGGATCAAATAGTTAGCAAGTTGCAAAGCTAGTACTCTCACCCAAAGTTTCTGACTCCATCCTCTAATCACAGTGTTCTTTACCGCATGGGCAAAGGGAAAGTTCTAGAAAAGACTGGATGTAGAAAGGGGCAGCCATGTCCCTTGGTGCCAAGAGGAAAGCTCTAAAGAACTCATATTCTAATGGTGACAAAGTGCCTTTTCACCTCTGATAAGCTCTCCACAAGGACAGTCTTTCAGACCTCATTTATTCTGAAATAGCTGGGTAGGAGATGCCAGCTAACAGCTAAATTAGAAATGGCTAAATACAAATGGGTTCCATTAATTTTATGGCTTGTCAAATAAATGTAGCAATTTAACTGGAATCAGTCTCCTATTTCCTGTAACTTATGCATTGTTAACTTCAGGGTTATTTGGCATCTTTATTCTTGATGTTTGTTGATGTATGAAGTAGAGCAGTGCTTCTTATTTGACTAAGACAGACAAGTTCTAATTTTCCGACTAAAGGTTTTACAATTCTTCCTTTATAAGCACTCTTATTTTATAACAATAAATGAGTAGTTTTATTTTGAAATGTATGGGTCATTGCTATTGTGAGTCAGAGATTCTGATTTCTTTTCTTTCCAATCTTGGCTTAATGTTTAGTTCGCTATTTGAGGCATAGCATCATACTTCAGTTCAAATGCCTGGAGTACTTGAATCTGCACTAATACATTTTCAAAACCTTTCCTGAGTTGGTGACTTTTTATTCACTATGGGAAAATATGTATCAAATGAAAATTTTTAGATAATTTAAATTAAAGTAGTTCTATCTTCTAGCATGGAAAAATGAAATAATTAGCTAATTGTAGAGTGTGATGAATTACCTAAAGACAGGAGTGTTAAGTGGCAGGGTTGATCTGTAGTACTGGCAGTAAAGTTTATGGAGTATATTATGATAGTTCAGTTGTTATTTTATTACTTGTGCTTTGGGGCCAATTGATTTCTTATACACTTTGATGCTATTTTCTCTCATGTATTTGCTTGTATTATTTTCATTTATTTATTTATTGGCAGTATTTGGGTTTGAACTCAGGGTCTCATGCTTGCTAGGCAGGTGCTTTACCACCTGAGCCTCTTCGCCAGCCTGAGCTTTTATTATTTTTATATAAATATATTTTATGTATCTTCATAAAACATGTCATATATATTACATATAAAAACAAATGAGGATGATTCAAAGAAATTATAAGAAATCCAGTCCTTGATTTCAGGCATGTTCTTTCAGTATCTTAAAGCTATCCTAGAAAATCTTCTATCCATTTCCCTCCTCCAATATTTAATCATACCTTTTTGCCTTAATTTTCTCAAACAAACAAAATAGGTGAAATCTCAAGCTTAAAGTTTTGGTTAGTAAGGTGTTTTACCACATTATACAATTTTTTAAAGTAGTGTGTTTCCATTAAATCAAGAGGGGAGAATATAAATAATCGCATAAATAGAAAATCCTTCTCCCATTCCCCGACTCCCTCTTCCTTTTCATCAAATCCATCAATGATGCAATTGCTTTTCAGAATTTTTTAAGTAAATGATGAGAGAGGCAATTACAAGCAGTTCTCCTCCATGTGACACTGCCCGGAAGACTGGCAAATTGCAGCTCTTGATGGATGCCAGCTATTTTATACATGGGCTGGAAATCTCCACACATGGAGAGGAAAACTAACCAAGGGAAAGTGGAACAAAAACACCAACACATAGGAAAAAGTTATTAGGGAAAGAATGGTTAATTGCTCAAAGGCTTGGGTTTTTTGAAACACTGAATACCATGAAATAAGTGAAGTATCACACATTTACACATTCATATACACAATTAATAATAACCAAAGCTTAGCAAATTCAAATCATATATATTTCTTTATGAAGTGTAAAATCTGAAAATGGAGAAGAAAGGTAACTAATGCTGCAGGGTGTGGTTAGACATCTTCCCATACTTGCTTGTGTTATGTAAGGGATTTTTAAAATCTGAAATGCATTATTTGATTAAAATGGGATGTTTTGAGAAGTGGTCACTAACATAATGCATGAGTATGTAGGAACTCTATGATGCTGTTTGTTACGCCCTGCAGTTAAGTGCGCGGGTTTGGGTCCTTGTGCAAGGAGAGGTGGAGGGAAGAGAAGGACTTAATGAATTCTGAGGGCAGAAAGTACTGCATCAGAAGCCTGCCTGTCCCTTAGGGATAATCCTGAAGACTGTGTTGGTGGGTGTCAGCCTCACAAGTCCTTTTTTAGATTCTTTCTGTAATACATTAAAGGAAAATATGCTAGGTTTATAAAATACGTGCAAAGTAATTTTTATAACTCCTGTTTTGTGACTGATATAGTGATGTGGGTTAATATACAGCATAAAAGTCTATTAGGATTATGAAATTTCCCTTTCAAAACATAGGCATTAGTTTTTATTCTCATCCAAAATTTTAGTGTTTAATGACAGTGCTTGCTGTGCTTGGCACATAATAGGTCAACAATAAGTATTTGTTTATCAAATCAAGAAATAAACAGGTTGCTTTTCAGTGTGGAGCTTTTGTCTTGGTAGGCTTTATTGTCTCTGGCACTTTGCAAAGTACTGACGGATGAATGAGTAAATGAATGAATGAGATATACAACCACTAAGCTGAAGGAAATGAGAGGGCAATAAGTTGTAGGAGTCATGGTTTATGGGAAACAGATTTTTTTCTCTAGGATTCATTAATAATACAAGTGGTTTTGTGTGACAGTTCTACATATGCTACAGTGGGTTTTGAGCAAGTTCACCCCCTGTGTCTTCATCCCCTCTCTTCCCTCCATTGTAAAAATAAGGTATTTATAAGTAATATGCTTTGATCCTCTTCACCCCTCCCCCATACTATCTCTGTTTACCCTTCCCTCCTGTTGATCTCTCCCCTCCCCCATGTCCGTACATTCAAGTTCCATTATTGTTGATGAAATAGATTCTCTTAAAAAAACATACATTCCTATACTTATGGGCTTTTAATTCTTGTTTAGAGCTAGGACCTTATTTTTTAAGGTAGAAAAAGATTGCCTACTTATTTTTTGAATGGAGGAATTACAAAATGATCTCAGCCACGGGTCCCTAGACGAGCTTTCATTAGAGATCTGCGGTATCCTGGATCTGTTACTGTGAGCTGCTGTTTGTTTCCTCCTCAGGTGTGGAATTCACAGCATGTTCCCCTTACATTTAGCCGCCCTGAATGCTCACTCTGATTGCTGCAGAAAGTTGTTGTCATCGGGTAAGTAAATCCATGGCCAGAGACCAGGCTGAGTGTGTCCTGTCTGTGAGTCACATGCTTCAGGTGTCTGGTCCAAGTGAGAGGCTGCCAGTGTATCATATCATTGCTTGACTTGGCAGGGTGAGGTGGTTCCACAGCTAACTGCATGTGACAGCTCCCAACAGTCCTTAGGGTCAAAACTGTCTGAATGTCAGCATTCCTGCCCAGAATGAGTGTCTTACCTGAATTTCAGTGAAAACTTGGGTGATCCAGGATGAGAGAGAGGCAGACATGTCCAAGGATTATAGAAAGTTTAATTCATAGAAGGAAAAAAAAAATCTTTGTCTTAAACTGGTGGCTTTACACTTAACATCTTTCAACAAAGGAAAAAAAGGCCAAATCTCCTGCATTTTAGTGGTAGAAAATATCAAGTCACCTTCCTGAGCTTTGAAAAACCAGTAAGGCTCATCCCTTTCTAACAAAATTTAATTTTTATTTTTAAAGCGGGGTGTTTAGAACCAAGAAATTCTTTCTGGTTTGGAGATTTGCTAATCTTTCTTATCACTACTTCTGCCAGTCTCCATATATTACCAAGTTCCTGGGCTTTCAAAAGTGGTAGATGTCTGTGAGGCAGAGATTGTTAATGAATTAATTCATCAGATATCCCAGAGGCAAATTTTCCCTTCTTAGTACTTTATCGATGATTGATTCTGCTTTTGCTGCTTTTGACGTGTTTAAAAATAATTCCTGCATGAAAGCATGTTTCCCAAATCTGAAACCAACAGAAAGGGTTGCTGTAGAAAATATCTCTTCCTGCTTGTTAGGATTACCCCTTGGCCTTCCGTGTCTTCTCTATGTGCTCTGTCTGCCTATCTATTGCCCTACTTATCTCAAATTGGTTTCATAAATTTCTATCCTGGGATTGAAAAATGGGGCTGTGGCTCACCCAAGGCTGAATGTAAAAATAAATCCTTCTTGATTTCATGGTGATTCCTATAAAATTGCCAAGCTTGAGCAGTTACCATTCGTTTCCATGACAACCTCTTTCTGACTACAATTGCTTGCATTCTGGTTTTCCTACTAACTGATTTTTCTGTCTCTGCAATGTTTCTTGTGGTTGAACTAGGACAAAAGTATAGCATAGTATCCTTGTTTAGTAATGAGCACGTGCTGTCTGCAGGCTTTGAAATAGACACCCCAGATAAATTTGGAAGAACGTGCCTTCATGCTGCTGCTGCAGGAGGGTGAGTGGTGAGCAATTTCAGTTATTCTCTAACTTAATTACTTGATACACCTTAATTGACTTCCCTGCGACTCAGAGGCAGTTTCCTTAGTAAACTGGGTAAGAATCATTTGTACTAAATATCAAATATCACTAGTTGTATTTCCAGATCACTTGCATTTTGTTCTTCCAAAGAAATAATGTTAGCCCATCTCATATTAGCAAGTAAGGATTTATGTTGTTTTCTTCTTCTTTTCTTTTTTCCCTCTCATTTTAATTGTAGATTTTCAGGCTGTAGAATACATATCTATTTGTTATCCCCTCTACCAAAAAGCATTCATTTAAAACTTGTTCTACATTTTTCCTTTTTTTGTTGCTGGTAGGTGGGTATGATCAAGAGAATGCAAGATTGCATTAATTCATGTTCCTTTATATATATTTTTGTTATTTCAAAGCTGATTTTTAAGTCTTTATAATTATTAAATATGAACAAAGGTCAAATTAACCCAAAGGATAGGCAAAAAAATTATTTAATCCTTGCCCTTTTTCTGAGCTGTAAAGAGAATTCTTCATCAGCCACTCTCTTTCATATCAATGGTTAAATTAAAGTTCTGATCAATATATTGATATGTGGCCACACATTGACCAAACATGGCATCTCTTAGATGACCTGATATGGGTAAGGTGCTGGTTCTTAATCATTTTCCTAGGAACAGCACTGCTTCTCCATTTGTCATCTCTATATTACCAAAGGCATTAGATATTTATCAGAGGTGGATTAACTGTGAAGCTGTAGGGTCTTTTATTTACATAGGTCTACTGAAGTCTTATATCTAGTTTTGTGTTCCAATCTTGTATTATTTTTTAAAGAGGCCTCTTCTTTCTAAGTCTTCATGAGCCAGACAACTTGATCTATCTCGCCTTTGACCCTTTATCATCATCATTCAATAACAGGCAGTACTTTTTATCAACTGGCATGCTACATCAACACATACTTATCTTAAAAAATTCTTATTTTTTATGACTGAACTAGCTAGCTCTCTGAGAAAGATGGCTGTAAAGAGTAGATGTGGGGTGAGGAGAGCCCTGCTCAGGCTTATTAATGAGGTCATTTTTCTTATACAAATTAAAATAAATACATTTAGGCCATTTCTTGGCATCTCAAGTTTAGAACAATGATAGATGTTTGTGTCTTTCTATGCCTCTATTTTTTTAAATATCTGAAATATCCAGAAAATGGCAATACACCGTTTTAGATTCATGTCTGAAATTCCTGTTGGAATTTGTATTTGGCTACATGCCCTTTGACAGGAAAATTCGCTTCAGTGGGTCCTTTTCTCTCTACTAAATGTGATTTATTGCTTCTGTGAATGACAAAGGAGCTTTGGAAGATGACTCTGCTCCATTACCTCATTTTCAGCATTGGTTCTGCACATTTATTTACCTGGATTACAAAGACAGGGAAATGCAGCTGTTTTATTTTTCCATTAAGGAATATCTAGATGAAAGTGGTTATCATGGGGAATTTATTCTGCTGTGATAGAAGGTAGTGCTCATCCACTCTGATTCATTGTTTAAAGGTGACAGGAAATGATTATAGGTTGAAGTGGTTGTTTCATAACTTTTGATGGTTTTGAAAAAGGATTTTAGGAAGAATGATGAGACCATCACTGGAGGTTTTAACCATATAATAGTCATTAATTTTCTTAGTCACAGAATTGAAAATGTTCCATAAAGCTCTTTAACTTATTGATTCATTAGCTTTGCAAAAGGAACGTTAGATCCCCACACTATCGCATTACTTGGGTATGTTCCAATTATTTTCTTGTTAGGAGGACTTTAAACCTGGAGGTATCATTGTGTTGTATTCTGCACACTTTAGAAAACAGCTCTTTCTAAAGATATCCCAATAATTAACATTTACCATCTTAATGGTGTTTTCCCTGTCTTTTTAGTAATGTGGAATGTATAAAACTCTTGCAGAGCAGCGGAGCAGATTTCCATAAAAAGGACAAGTGTGGGAGGTATGTAATCAGGGTGCCCTGCCCTAAGTGCATAAGTAAAAGGAGCAGGCTATTGAGAAGTTGTGTTGTTGGAATACAGTCAACAGGCAGTTGGCTTGGGTGGGGGTGGGGGGAAGTGGGATTCCATCCTCAGAAGGAAATCTCTTCTTATAGGGAAATGCCAACAAAGCAAATACAAGCCATAAGGAGAGTCTCCTCTCTCAGCTTCTGCTGAGAGGATCCAGTTGTTGCTTGTTTCCTGTTTTTTTTTTCTTTTCCCCCAACTGACATGAATATAATTTAGAAAATTCCGTTTGTAGCAAAGTAGAACATGTTAGCCCTCCAAACTCAGAATCAGGTCATACAATCTAGAGCATTTTATTATATGTATTAGACATCTCATCTTGTGATAAATTTCTAGACATACTGGACATATTAAATGCCCACACAATTCATCAGTGGGTCATAGAACTTTCCTTGCAGTATGGTCCTTTGTATAGCTAAATTGTGCCACAGTGCTAGTTGGTACATGAATATATATGTGGATGTGTGTGCATAAAATACCACACAATGACCGAACATAGGCGATGGAGCTTCCATATACCCTAGGTGTGTAGTAGGCTGTCCTATTTAAGTTTGTGTTTACACAATGAAGAAATCCCCTAACAATATGCCTCACATATGCTGGTCAGTAAGCAACATATGACTATATATATTTCTCCTTAGCATTTCTCTGCCTCTCCTCTCCACTGCCATGCCAGCTCTTTGGGGATTGTCTTCTATTTCTTCTTTTACCAACCCACCTAAGATGACTCCTACTCATTCTTCCAGATTTATGTCAAGTGACAGCTTCTTGACATGCTGATGAGAATGCCCCTCTTTTCTGCTTTCCAAATACCTGGTGTGCTCCATGACTGAAGCTCATATCATACTGTGCTGTTTCCTTTTCTCCCTCTCCCCCTCCACACCCCCTGTGAGCCTCCTGAGGACAAGGAATGGTTGTTACTCTCTTTTTATTATTTCATTTTATTTTTTATTCTGCAGTACTTGGGATCAAACCCAAGGCTTTGTGCATGCTAGGCAACTACTCTTCCACTGAGTCACATCCCAGCTCTTGTGTTCTTTTGAGGCAGGATCTTGAGACTGGCCTTGAACTTGCAAGTTTCCTGCCTCTCTGTTCTGAGTGCTGGAATTACAGAAATGAACCACCATGCTCAACTTTCCTCTTTATGTTTGAACCCTGGCATATGGTTGATACCTAATCATTTTCAGTCCAACTAAATAAAATGTAAGCAATCCAATATGTAAAACACTTACAATTTCCTTCTTTTGGATTAAAGAGGGAAAAAAAATCAACTAGTAGAAGAACCCATAAATATACAAGTTATACTTGAAAATTGGTAAATAATTCTTAAACTGAAGTTACTTGCTTTCTACTGTTCTATTTGATTTTTATTCCTTCGATATTGATTAGTCACACTAGGAAAACTTAAATAATTTAAGCCAGAAATAAGCAATATAAATTACTTCATATTTTTGCATTCTTGCCCTAACAAGGTGCTTGTTTTTGAATAATACTCCCTGGTTTTCTCATAGCAACTCCATGAGTATATAGGGATGCCTTTTTTTAATAGGTGAGAAATATGAGTTAGAGAAAATGAATGATTTATGCCGGTACACAGAATTTTAGATTTAGAAAAGATCTGAGGAGACAGCTGCTCAAAGATCTCTGTTGATAGAAGAAGGAAGAAACCCAGGCCCAGAAAGAGGTGCAGTTTGGCCCAGCTTGCAGATCTTCCCAGTTCTATGCATAGTTCTTTACGTTAACCTACAGCCCTACCATCAAGGAGCCTGTGGTCTGGTGGAGAATATGAGGCAACACATGAATGGCTAAAATGAAGGGAGACTCCATGAGTACCTAAGCAATCTCAGACAAAAGAATGACAACTACCTTCTGGAACTTTAAGGATGGGTGGGGCTTTGGTGGGTAGAAGTCAGTGGGGAAGACTGAAGGTTTTAGAACAGGATTGTCATAGGTGGGGATTATACCATAAAACCCCAACTAGAAGTTCATACCAACTAAAATCTGATGGAAGCTTCATTAGACCCAAGAAAGGTCTTTAAAAAACCATTTTATTAGTATATATAAACTGTACAAAATGATGGATTTCATTGTGACATTTTCATATAGACATATAACATAGGTGGATCATATCCACCCTCCCCATAACTCTTTCTTATTCCCCCCTCCCTCTGATTCCCTTCCTCTTCCCTAACAGCCCCTCAGGATGGTCTTAATGAGGATGGTTTTGAGGGTTCTTAAGCAATCTTACAATGGTTCAAAAAAGCAATAACTTAGACCTGAACCTGGATATGCACTAGGGATAGAAAGAAAAGGTAGATTTCCTTGGCTGGCCATATCAGAAGCCATCAGTCTCTGTAGCCTCAGTTTTAGTCTATATAGTCAAAAGAAGGCATCTCACTTGGCCTCCACACACTGAGAGCCAAAGAACTTTCTACACCCCTAGGATTGCTGCTGCCAGCGCTAGGGTCAATAATGGGTCTGTTTTCTTGGCTGAATGAAATAATAAATTACTGTTTGTTTTTCAGGACCCCTTTGCACTATGCAGCTGCCAATTGTCATTTCCACTGCATTGAGACATTAGTGACCACCGGGGCCAGTGTTAATGAAACTGATGACTGGGGACGGACAGCTCTTCACTATGCCGCTGCATCAGACATGGACAGAAAGTAAAAACAGACTTGCCATGCTTCCTTTGAGGGGAGGGCTGAGAAGGGGGAGGGCTGCTAAGTTTTCTTTACACTGGCCTCCTGGAAGCTGCAAACAAAGGATCTCTTTCATTCAGACTCAAAGGAGTTAGAATTGCTTCATCCTAACCCAAGTTTCCCACTCACCTCTCTTTATGCTTGATTGATACATGTCACCACATAGTTTCCTCTCTTCTCTGTTCTTTGGTTAGAATGCCAAGTGGAGCTGTTGAGCCCAGGTTTTCAGTTCATTCAAAATCTGTTGCAATTGTTTGACATATCTCATCACTTTCATCATCACCACTTAAATGCTTCATTTGCTTTAAAACTTACATTGGCTAATACATATGTCATACGGCAAAAACTCCACCGATGCAAAATCCCAACAGTTTTCAAATGCAACCTTGGTGTGATGAAATTAGGACACTTTCATCCAAAACCTAGGCGTAAATAATCTTTCAGCAGCTGGAGGACTGGAAGTTGGTTGCCATATACATGTTTGGATTCTAGGTGGCTATGAACAGAAAGCAGAAATCAGTTAACCAGTTCAAAGGTGAAAGGTGGGGGAGGTCACACAGTTTGAGAAAATTTTCTTAAAACCTTTAAAGGCAGGGCCTGTTTGGAGAACTGTTAAACTATCTGCTGCCCTGTGTTGTGCATTTGATTCCAGGTCAGTGCTAATGGCTTCTTTCATAAAGCGATGATTTTCACACATTTTTATCTTCTTTATAAATAAACTAAGCATGTGTTCTACCACTAAGCTATACTCCCAGTCCCTTCACACATTTTAGATGGTGATTTACACTAAGAAATACATCTTATATTGTGACTTAATATGCACATTCATACATATATGTATATAAAACAGATTAAAATTTCATAAAACTATTTATATTTGTGTGTGATGCATTCTGATATTTTCTATTTTATTTCATTAAAAAATAGCTGACTACAACCCACTAAACTGATTTCACTATTGAGTAATGGGTCATGGCCCATAGTTTGAAAAACATTTATTACATAAATATTTATTATGTAACAATAAGAAAGTCAGTGTAGCACTTGGGATCCCTCAACCATGCAGATTATTCATTCAACAAGCATTTATTGAGTACCTACTATGTGCCACCCTCTATGCTATTCTGTGCTAGAGTTGATGGGGAACAAGTACACTTCATCTGTTAAGAGCCGGAGTCCTAGGTGATGAATTGTTCTGGCCAATGAAGGGTGATTAGGATCTCTCCCACTCCTGGGAAAGTGAGATGTAGTGAGGAATGTGGTAGGGGTTAGAAAAGTTTGAGCTTAGTTGCTTCCTTTTTATTTGGAGAGTTTTAGCATGTTTATGGAAGGGTATGCAACTCAATTGTCCTTTTTTTGTTGTGCACTGGGGCTTGAACTCGGGGCCTCATACTTGCTAGGCAGGTGCTATACTGCTTGAGCCACACTTCCAGTCCTCAACTGTTGTCTTAATCACTGATTCCTAGGTGGAAGTGTTAAGAAACTCATGTTCTCAATTGGATTCTTTAGGAGAAAACATTTCCTGCATGGCCTTGGAGAGGACCCTCAGTAAAAATCAATGGTGCTTATTTCATTGGGGTGGGATAAAAATTACTGAGATGTAATTGTGCCAAAACTATTGGTCTTTGCGGTTTGAAAAATTAATTGCAATTCTTTCCTGTCCTTTATGCTGAGAAGTAAGACGATCTTAGGAAATGCCCATGAAAATTCAGAAGAACTTGAAAGAGCCAGGGAGCTGAAGGAAAAGGAAGCTGCACTGTAAGTTTCTCCTGAGCTGCAGAGCCAGGTGCCATTGCTGATGCATGGTTTGCTCCTGGGGGTGCCGTGTGCCTGCCTTACTGTTTTGGGGTTTTGTTTGGGGTCTGGAGGAAGTGATGTGGGCTTGCCTTTAATGGAGAAGAATCTGTTCTTTTTGTATATCCTTCAATTATGCTGTTTTCACACAGGGAGCTCTTTCTAAAACTGTAAGCTTGCTTTGGCCATCAAACTGTGATTGGTCAGCAGTTTTAGGTCTTAAGTATCATTTCTGACTCTGCCATGCATCATATACCTCGGGGGACATAGTGGGCCTCCTCTCAGGGCCTTAGGTTCTCCTTTTGTGACCTGGGGATGACAATTTAATAGATTCAATAAACAAAGGTCTTGAGCCTGTGGGGTGAAAGCCATACTTTCAGAATCACACTTTCCCCTCAGCCCCTCCCTCTCTCCAGACATCCACTACAAACTGCCTCCAGCTCCCTGAAAATAGCTGCCTCTGACCCACCTCATCTCCCCTGCCTTGAGCTGGCTACTGATAGACTTAGTTGTGGCTGGGATAGGAGCTGGCGTGCCTGCCATCACCCAGGCTTGTTGACACATGGGAGCTCCAGTGCTTTCGTCTCTAACAGCTCCATCACAGTGTCTGATGCAGTACCTGGCACATAGTCAGTCTGCAGTAATTGCTGAATAAATGAAGACACAAATGCACTAGCACCCACACTTTATGCTGCTCCCTGTGGGACCCTGTGGATGCAGTGCTCTGCAGGCTTGCAGTCCCTAACTTTTTATTCTGTCCTCCAGTTGCCAGAGGAGCCAGTGTCTGTGACCTGAATGTTTGTGTCTACTGCTGGGTCTTTCCACCTCCCACTGTGCTCTTCTGCCTACCCTCCTATGTCCTGTGTACAGAGTGTGACCTGGTGCAGGTTATACAACATAACTGACTACTTTGAGGATAGGCACAGGAGACACAGCTGTGAGTAAGCTGTGAGTAAAGCAGTATGACCATGGTCTTGTCCTAAGACTTCCAATTTTAAAATGATATTAAAAATTATAGAATTTCAAGTCCTCAGAAGAAGACCTCAGAAGAGTCCCCTTTTGCAGTGAACTGCATGTTTGCCTTGGGCAAGGAACCATCAGTTCTGAGACTTCCTCCATGCACAGGGAGGCCACCCCCTTTGTCCTGTCCAAATATACCCTGACCTAATGTGCTTGTGTTGATTTCACATCTTAAGTGCCAAAATTGCTAGTCAAGACCTGGGAGTAAAAAAGATGTGTTTCCAGTTAAAATATGGAATTTATATATTTTCCTTAGAAATTCTGTGGAAAAGATCTAAATTATGTAGTACTATTGTAACTATAACAGTACTGTTGTTAGTATAATTGGGCTATATTCTGGGTTAAATAATTCTGTGGGAGAAGTTCTAAATGTTTTCTAAATTAAAAATTCAGCGTATCTGCTTATTTTTAGACTATAGTCCATTCAGAAGTTGGGGATTGGGTGTACGCTGGAATGCTGTTCCTACTGAATGATTTTATTTAGAAAGCCAAATTTGGTTTACAGTGAGTCACACCTTGGCTCCTGCCCATGGACATTTAATTACCAAAATGACAAAGTGCTTCCTTATAAGGTGCGAATGACCAGACAGCAAGACAGCAGGACTTTAATAAAAGTTTGATTTACTATGGAGCATTTTACAAACAAATATGACAAGGAAGAATTTGGACTAAAATTTTTGTCTTTCATCAGTTTTCTAGTACCAGTTTAATTGTCTTTAGTGTGATTTGTTTATCCTCTTTGCCTTATACTAAAAGATAAATAAATGTCATTAAAAATTTTTTTGAGTGAACCTTAGGAAGTTTCTGTTGGAAAGCTTTATTTAATGTAGAGGATTACATTTTGAATCTTAAACTCTTGATTTGAGCATGAAATTGAATCGATGTGGCCTTGTAAAGTCTGTGTTTATCCCACTGTCGCAGAAATGATACTGAAATTCTGGAGCATTGCTCCTGCTAGTTATTTCCTCTTACACAGAGTCGAGCCTTTTGCAACAGGCTCTGAGCAGAGCTCCTGCCATTCCTTGAGGGCCTGTATCCTGGAGTTCCAGGTCCTTCAGCAATCCAGGGCTCCCTGGCAAAGGTGGAGCCAAGCTCCCGCCTCTAACCTATTCCAAAGAGTGTGACTTTTTTGGAAAAGTTACACCTCTGCCAGAAAAGGCTATTGAAGTGTATTATTTTGTCCTACTTCATATTCCTAATGGTGCAACTTGCACTTCTTTCTTCATATGTAGTGACTGAGTTAATCCTCTATATTTAAAAAATATTGACCTACTCCTTTAATCTTTTTATTATTCAGACTATTCTCAAGTTCTCTTTTTATTACATTTAAAATTTTCATTTTCTAATGTTTGAATCTCAGTCCCTAGTAGTAATATCAAAAATAATCCCTTCTCTGTTAGGTTTGTTTAATTGCAATGGTCTGAACATGTCATAACATTTGTGACTTCATCTTTTGAACTTCAGTAAATTTGATGACAGGTGTGTTCTTTACCTTAAGATGAGGATTAAAAAAAAAACAACAACAACCCATTTACAGGGTTGGCAAAGTGGTTCAAGTGATAGAGAGTACCTGTGTAGCAAGCATGATACCTTAAGTTCAAACCCCATACTTCCAAAACAAACAAAACCCACTTAATTACCTCTTGCTCCTAAAACTTTTCCTAAATTCTGGAATGACTATTTAAAGCAAAAATAAAGATAGCCACAGAAAGCAGGTATGTGTGTGTCCACACACAGGCTCCAGCACTAAGCTTCATTGCAGCAGAGACACTTAGACTTACATAGTGCTTTGTGGAATGTTCATGAGAGGGACATTTACAGTCATTATCCCTTTTGGTCAAGAGATACTTTCTAAAACAACCCCCCATGTCATACTTACAGATGTTTAGAGTTTCTGCTTCAAAATGATGCAAATCCATCCATCCGGGATAAAGAAGGTTACAATAGCATACATTATGCTGCTGCCTACGGCCACCGACAGTGTCTGGAACTGGTGAGTTGTTTTGTCTTGTTCTGTTTTGATGACACAATGCTGGTCTTAAACTCTCAACAAATGCTCCCACTGCTTAATTTAGCCACCACTAGAACTCACTTGGAGGATAGTCTCTGGTAAGTGAAAAACTGTTGTACCTTCTGATATGTAGCTCTCTGTTCCACTTGACCTGCCTAACTCAGAGCTGACTGAAAATGGACTCTTTCCCACATTCATGTGGGGAAGGAATGTCAGATCTGTGTAGAGATACAACTTGTATTTTAAAGATAATTAGGATGTAGCAAATAAGTTTATTATATACTTCTAGCAGAGAACTAAGCACTTCAGTATTCAATAATAGTATTTTAAGATGACTGATAAAACAATTAGTTAGTTCTATGAGTTTGTCACCAGATCTGCCAGTCTCAGATTTATAGTATAGAGAAAGAAACTGGCAAGGGCACAACAGCAGAATGTACTAGAATTCCATACCACCAAAAATTCAAACCTATCATGATCAAGACACTGCTGGGGCTTGGAAACTCCTCTGCTGGTGTAGGTCACAAGACCCATAACTCAAATGCCCCCAGGGACAGGAAACCTAAAGGCGAAGTGAGGTTAGATATGAAATGATAGGAAGTGATAGGAACTGGCAAATGTATGCTAATTTGAAAACATGATAAAGTGAAGTATAAGAGAACACGTGTTCTATTTGAAGGGAGAAACATCCAGTCAGCTGCAGCTGTTAAAGACTGCACATCCAGCGTTGCTAGATCTCCACAGTTTCTGGAGAAGCTGGATGTGAGATCTCCTGTTTTGAGCACACTAAGGGCTAGGGGAGAAATATGGGTTTGTGACTCCATCTTGCCTAAAGGCCAACATTTGCGGGCTCCTGAGTACCAACCTTGACTCAGCTTCACCAGAATACAAGGGTGTCCCAACTGACTGTCTTGGTTCAGTGACATGTCCCATCTTCCTGACGTCTTCCAAGATGTGCCCTTGTCCCTTTAAAAGAAGTCCACATTATTCAGAGCCGTGTTTGGGGAGACACTGTAGCATCTCCCAATTTGTTGAGAAAAGCATGAGATAGAAAACAGTGAGCCGTGGTATCAGCACCTGCTCAGAAAGGCCTGGAGGATGCCCCAGTCCTGTGATTTACCTGATTTCGCTGCTGTCTTAGTTGGTTCCATTTAGGGTCGGTGTTATTGTATTCCTTTTAATTATGAATGTGGAAAACTTCTCATAAATGTCACCCAGTTTGGAAACAAAAAAGATGTTTATTCTGTTGTTCTTTTTGCTTCATTTATTGGTGAATAGTACCTGCTTTCATCATTTCTGGAGAGCTATAAGTCAACCAGACATGGGGGTTCATGCCTGCAATACTAGCTGCTCAGTAGGCAGAGGTCAGGAGGATGGGGTTCAAGGCCAGATAAAATGTTCACAAGACTCCATTTCAACCAATAAAAGCTGAGTGTAGTGTATGCACCTGCCATCCCAGCTGCAGGAAGGGTAAATAGGAGGATCACAGTCTAGGCTGATTGGGTATAAATGTAGGACTCTATCTCAAAAATAACCAAAAGCAAAAAGGGCTAGGGGCATGGCTCAGGTGATAGAGAACCTGCCTAGCAAGCACAAGAACCTGAGTTCAAACCCCAGTACCACCAGAAAATTAATAAAAAACAAAAGTTCTAAATATTCTTTCCTGAGTCTCTTATGAATGCTAAAGACTTCCTTGTTTGACTTGGGAGGTCGGTGGCACTTTTTGGATTTGTTTGTTTGTCCTCTAGTTCTGATTCCATCATAGTTCTTCTTCAGTTACTCTGACTGCAAAACAAATCATCTCAAAAGTTAGTGGCCTTAAGTAACTACAGTCATGTATTATCTATCATTGTTTTTGTGGACCAGGACTTCTGGAGTGGCTTTGCTGAGTAGTTCTAATTAAAGGCATCATAGGCGATTACAGTTGGACAGAACCTGAGGCTGGCAGAATCTCAAAGGCTCTTACCTCAAGGGCAGTCACCTGGGCTTGAAGACTCAAACATCTGGTGACCCCTGGGCTATGCTGTCAGTCTCCATATGGCTTTTCCACTTCTACTCTAGAACAAAAGTTCTAGAGTAGCTGGATAGCTTACCAGGTGACTCAGGAAACCAAAGGCATCTACTATGAGGGAGGAAGGGATGCGTGCTTTCTATGACCTATCCTTGATAGTCATTCAAGGTCACTTCTCCTGCATCTGCTCCCTGAGGTAGTTATTAAATACAGAGAGGCAAAGTGGACTCCCTCTTTAAAGGAAGGAATGTCAAAGAATTTGTGGACAATCTTTAGTTCCTTAGGAAGATATAGGAAGTCAATGATCTCATGACCTCCTATAGCACTAATTTTGATAATTCCAAGTGGCCAAGAACTAGTCCCTCACTGTATACATGAACAAACCAAGTCTCAGAGGTTTGCCCAAAGTCAGAACTCTGGTCATTGGAAGAAGCATGACCAGGAATCCAGGATTTCATGAATTCTTATTTCAAAGAAAGTATTTATTTACCATACTACATCGCCTTCCATTGCAGATTAAAATCCCACTACTACCCAAGGCTTTTAAATACAGAGCAAATGCTTGGTAGGATCTGGTTAAGATATAAAGCAATATCCCTTCTGCCTCCTAACAGCAGTTTTGCAGAGGGCATTGATGGAGGCCTATTAGTAAATATGACTTTGTGTTTAGGTCTCATATAAGAAAGGCTTCTCACAAAGTGTGTCTGTATATATATGTGTGTGTATAGTAATCAGTGGCAAAGTCAAGGTTTACTATTGTAATTACCCATTATGAGCCTGCCTTCCAAGTTCTATTTCATACACAGCTGCCTTTAATTGGCTTTCTCTATGAAAACCATATGCTATAATTGGATCTATGAACTTTCATTACAAAGTCTGTTACTATACTCTTAATAATGTATGCTGTCTTGTGGAACTGTAGTGAATTGTCTTTAGTCCCATACCAACTCTGAGAATAATTATTCTGTACGACCTTCTTTCTGTGTAAATAATATGTTGCAGGCACTATCTTCATTTTTCATGAAAGCCATTTTACGGCCATTATTTCTTTTATCTGACAAAAAGTTTTCTATCTACAAGAAGACTTTACAGGTTCTTAATTAGCACTTGAATTATATCAACACTTGCCAATATGTGATTTTCAAAGATATGATTATTCATGGAAATTAAAAGTATTTGAAAGTAGGTGAGAGAAATGTTAATTGATTTTATTTGTACTGTCAATTGAACAGGACCAGATTATCAGTATAAATTGGTAATGCCACTTTTGTTTGCTTTTAAGAACCTCCATAAGTCATTTTTAACATAGATAGGAAAGAAATCTTTGTCTCATTTTCCTGAATGATTTTAGTTGGATGGAACATTTTATGTGTTCTCCTGTAGGTTCAGTTTGCACTAAGCACAGTTCCTAGCAGGCTACAAACGTTTTTATACCCACCCCCTCTCAATCAAAACAAAACACAATCTGGAAAATGGTCTCTCCCTCTGATGGCTCACTCAACACTAAATGGATTTGGGGACGAGATGGGACAGGATGAAGGTTCTAGAAGGTGGGGAGAGAGAAGAGGGCCTGTCCTTGAAACAAGTTTTAAATGAAGAAGTAGGGTTTTGGTGGGGGAGGCGTGGCTTTTCAAATTTATGTTTCTTTTTCCTGTAACCCAATGCCTTCGTAGTCCTTAAAAATTCCATATCCTTGGGCACTAGATGTTAGGAAAGCAAACCAATTAACCAGTATGCACTAGGGGTAGATTTCTAAGACTGTCACACTGCCATGCCAAATCTCCCTCATCTTACATCACAAACACTCCATCTACCCAGGAATCTTCATTTTAACAAACTGACCCTGACTCTGTGCCAGGTGCTAAACTTTTGTCATGAAAAGACCTGTTCCTGGTAGCTCTAGGCAGCCTGTCTGGGCCTCTGAGCAAGAGTTGAGCAGGGAGAACTTTCTTCATTTCACACTCCTGGCCTCTGCTTCTGGCTTGTAGAAGGAATAGAGAGTAAATGAGTATTTTGCTACCAGACCAAGGTTCTGTCCTTTGGGAGCTGGAGCAAGGCCGGCTATCAGAGACCACTGATTTGTGAAGTTGATAAAACTTATTTTCAGTGTCTCTTCCCTTCTATTTGAGTGATCCCTGTGATTATGCATATCATTAAATATGTATCATTAAATTTGATGTATATTTGACCGTGACATTTAACTTAGTCTGTGTTTGCTTAGCATTCGTGGTTTGTGACTCATGATTGTGATCATAAGCCTAGAATTTATATACCATACCTTGTGGTCAGTCTATTTTGCTACAATCAAAAAGGAAAGAAATTATTTTAGCTGTTTTATTTCTACTTCCCCTATACAAACCTGCATTGAATTAGTTCCAAGAGCAAAAAGCAAAAAAAAAAAAAAAAAAAAAAGAAAAAGAAAAAAACCTTCTAGAAAGTAGTATGGATCCCTCAAACCTTGATAAACTAGCAACGTGCAGAATGCTGCCAAGTCTACCTACTTAAGCCATGGTTCTCAGCTGCTCTTGATCAAAGATGTATGTCCTGTGTGTACACCAAAAATCTACCCACCAATATGTGCAGAGAGCCGTGATCAGTCACATTTAATTGGGCTCAAAATAACAAAGCAGAGCAGAGGAGTCTTGGCTAATAACATACCTTGTGTCTGAATAAAATGTTTGCTTGAATGGAGGAAGGGAGGGGGCCAAGGAGAGCTCCAAGCCTCTATCTGGAATGCATTCTGACTGACTCTACAAAAGAAAAAAAAACAGAGAATCAAGCTCCAATTTGGAATTTTTGCATTTTTCCCAGCATACTGTTTTCCGTTTTACAATATTAAACATTTGACTGTGAATATAAAGATCTTTGTGGCTGTGTTGTTCTTGAAATGGAAAAATGTGTGTGCCAATATAATTACATAAATTGCCTGCAGAAATTTAGATTGTTTGAAAACTGGAGCCCTCTGATTAAA